TGTACATGGAAGTTGTCTTTATATAATGTTAAATGTACAAAAGCAGTAGCTCAGGTTTATCATGTACCTTTTAAAATATACTAATAAAGATGATTATTGAAAATGAATGTTTCTGGTCTCATCAGTTAGTATCTGAAATTCATATTGCACAAGGCACTTGCCAGCAAGTACTTCAAATCAACCAAGAACATTTAAGTACTGGAACATCAAAAGTACCGGTATGTATGTATTATGTGTGTATGTGTACCCATATGCATGCATGTATGTTTCATTTTATTCCGATTTTTTTTAAAATGCTGTAATTTACAGCGATTTTTTTTGTAAAATAGATATTGGGAAGATTTCTGCTCAAATTTCTGAAATGTGTCTTCATCCAGTCTCCTCTATTTGGATGCAAGGAAATTCTCAAGATCCTCTAGTGATAATTTTTGGTTAGGGTAACGCTGCTCTTTGGAACAGTACCGGAAAAGCCTCTGTTGCTCTCTTTACCCCTGGTATTCTCCAAACCAGGAGGTCCACCTCTTCTTGGCTCCCCCTTTTTTGAGCCAGCAAGTAAACGTGTCCATCCCTCTTTCTCCTACCCACCCCACTCCCTTATCAGAAACTCGGGTCGGGTGCAAATTCCTTCCCTGGTGAGGGCGTTTTCTCCCACTGGCAAAAAGAGCAATCGGAGAAAGACCTGTGTGCCGTCTCGGATTGGGAAATCTCTTCCCAACGCCCCGCAACTACCAAAGTGACCTCTTTCCTATAACATCAATTCCGCTTGTGAGTTTCCTTTACATCCCACCCAATCCGGTCCTCTGGGGTAGGAAAAGGACCCCCACTTTCCCCTTCTCCTACCATCATGGCCAGCCAACTACAACGGAAGCTTCTCGGAGAGGGAGCAGAAGTGGTCAAAGGCAGCTGGAGTCTTCCAAGCACCGATTGACGAATAGAGAAGCTTCCCAAATCCACATGTGAATAAAGACACCTATGTGGGGATGTATTGACACATAAATGTGTTGGGAGGGTGTCTGTGCTTTTGCGTGCATATCTGCGCATGTGAGCATTCGGGAAAATCTTGACACCTCTGCACAAACTGCTCACTTTAGAAACTATGAGGCTGATCCAGTGATCCAGCGGTTGCCAACTGGTGGGCCACGAGAAAATTTTGGTGGGCCTCAGAGAAATCTCACCCCAAGACACCCCCTAAAGCAATTAATTCAGGCTGCACAGAAACACAAGGCTGCGCAGCCCACAGGGCCAGCAGGAACCTTCCCTGCCCACTCACTCCTTATTCAGCAAACTTGCCTGCTAAATTGCTATTTTTCCTTTTTCCGACCATCAGCTGTTCTGCTGTGCCGGGAGATTTAGATTAGCTAGGAAGCAGGAAATGGTTGGATTTCTTGCTTTCTAGGTAGTCTTTAGATCTTCGGCTCTGCTTTTAAGCACAGCCGAACCTCCCTTAGGACTGAAGGTTTTATTATTCAGTGCAGACTCTTGGCAAGCAAATTTTATGTGACAGACTCAGATAGCTGATGGCAGATAGATAGATCACTGAATGATTCTGTGAACAACTCAATCTACCTGCCTGCTTTGCCTGATTTTGGGTAAAAGTTGTTCCTTTTTTATAAAAAATTCAATATTTACATACATGGTGTGTTGAGAGTTAAATTCTGTGATTTGCTTGCAAGCAAATTTTATGTGACAGACTGAGCTAGCCAATGGCAGATAGATCTCTGAATGAATCTGTGATTCTGTGAGCAACTCAATCTGCCTGTCCGCTTTGCCTGATTTTGGGTAAAAGTTGCTTTTTTAAAATAAAAAAATTCAATATTTATATAAATATTTATAATATTTACATACAAGCCATGTCCAGCCAGTCATATGACCACCAAGCCACACCCACAAATTAGGCCACACCCACAGAACCAGTTAGTGGTCCCTGGGATTTAAAATTATGAGTTTGGTGGTCCCTGAGGTCCAAAAGGTTGGCGACCCCTGATCTAGAATACAATAAAATAGCTTCCAAAGAGGTTAGTTCCTGCACTTAAAAAAAATGAAGAAATGACTTTGGCTAAAAGGAAAATGGATATCTTAAACTTCAAAAGGAGACATGGCTGCCATGCTAAAGCTACTATCACACCTTTATTAAAAAGCTAATAATGAAACCTTAAATTCCAAATAACACTACTATGGAGAAGATTACACCACACTGTTTTATATATAGGGAAGTTCAAAAGTCATCATTTTAAGACTTATGACACTATAAAATTTCAGAACTGTTTATTTGTGCAACTGAACTAATTGATATGTAATATTTTTTAAAATGTGTTCATTTTTTATATTAAATCATTTTGTGTTTTCTAAATATAGAAAGCAAGTTATTAGAGTAGAGTTGCATCTCAATACATTAACAATAAAACCTTTGGATACTCTCACCTATAATCAGAGTCAAACTACATCTAAAACTTATAATCAAATGGCAATCCAGGATTCTCACTTAAGCAGTTCAGCTATCTCTAATTATAAATTAAATGCCCAGCATGATGTTCAACCCTTCCTGGAAAGCTGTAAGAGCACAGCAAAGCAAAAGTCTGGTGGTGCAATATTCCAAAATATTCCTGAGAAAGCCTGCATTTGGGCCCACAACTTAGTCTACTAGCGTATCCATAATATCCACTTGTATCTTGAACACCTAGATCAGGGGTTCCCAAACTTGGCAACTTTAAGATGTGTGTACTTATATGTTTCTGAAGTTCCAATGGCTAGTCCCATGGTCACATAATCACATTTCAGGCAATTGATAACTGGACATTTATGGCAATTTCCAGCATCTGGTGGTCATGTAACTGATTTGTTTTTGTCAAAAAACAGCATTTACCTCTGCCCAGTTACAAGTAATAGGCTTGCTTAACAACACTGGATTCCCTTAATGACTGTAAGAAAAAAAGGTTGCAAAATAAAGTTGCCCACGTGGGCAGACTCCATTACTATCATAAACTGGGGACTACCTGTGTGTATTTTATAATGCAATATTAGCATAAAGCCACCAATGACTACTGTAATTTGTATCAACTGTAGTTTCAAAATGTTATAGAACTAAATCCTTTTAGTGTAGTTAGCTCCCCAGAGTCATTGAGAATCAGAAAGCATACAAAATTAATAAATTATTATTAAGGTACAATTTGGCATTGGGGAAAAACAGAAGACTGAATATTAGCCTTCCCTTAGGCATGAAAGTTGGTTGGGTGACTTTGGGCTAGTCACACTCTTTCAGTCTGATCCACCTCACAGGATTGTTGTGAGGTGTTGGAATGTAATTATAGAAAGTTAAACCAATTCCATTTTAGAAATTAGTGCTTTACTATTACGAAAAAGTGAAAGGGTCATGTAGGCAGATAAGGAATAAATTAAAAGAAACCATTTTGCTTCTAGCAAGAGAGATAAGATGTGCCAATTAGAAAATAAAAAATCAGCCTATAAAATCAGTCACATAGGGGAGATGGGCGGCATAAAAATATAATGAATGAATAAAATTAGTATTTTTATTAGGAATTTAGTTTTAGAATTGAGAATTCTAGAATTAGACATGCAGAAATTAGTTATTTGTACATGATTACAAAATATGCTGCAGATGGGCCAAGGCTGCATTCAATGCTTGCATGCTGTATGTTTGTCTTGTGTCAGTAAACTTTTGATTATTTAAAAATTATTAAATTATTAATTACAGCATCTGATATTGATGCTGGAAAAGGAACAAATCACAGAAAAGTAATTCATCCAACATGGAAAACGATAAATACATTAAGTATATATGGTACATCAGAAAGCAAGTGATCTAACAACAAAAGACATGATTACATGTGAAACTTAAGACAAAAGAAAACATTGCTTCTGGCTAACATTTCACAAGTGGCAAGTTTATTAGTTACATTACTCCTTTCAGCTGGATTTGTATCTTTCTTAAAACTTGCCCCTGTATTCAAGGATTTTTTAAAAGAATGTGCTGTTATTTAATACTAAAATTACACGTCTTCATTTACCAAAAGAAAAGGTCTTGGCTAAAAAAAAAAAAAACCCACATTTTTCTGAAAGTTAAAAAAGCAGCCTCCACTGCCATATTAAAAGTCCTAATATTATCATTTTAAAAGTTAATAATGAAACCTAAAGTTTGAGGCAACAGAATCAACTTGTTTGAAGAACATGCAAGTTAACCAGAAGTCTTTACTTTTAGATTTTACAGCAAGACTATTGTATGCACAAAAAATGAAAGGACGCTTTGATTTGACCATTTTAATTAAAGAAAAAAATATAATGGAGACTGCTTCTGAACTTTGTGCTTGAAGTGGAAAAGAAAGAAATTTTGATTTTGGATTTTACTGATTAGACTGATCCTCATAGAAATGGCTAGTTTATATTATTATGAAAAAATGAGAAGTTATGATTTGATGTTAATGCCTTATTTTACTGCAACAGAGAGTAGGAAGTCAATACTTTTTTCTTTTTCCTAATCCTTCCTCTCCACGGATTTCCTATTAACTTTTGTATTTTTTTATCTTATCTTATAACTCAATTAAAAAAACGTTAAACAGGAGAAGTGCTAATATTTTTTAAGTTAATAGTGAAGCCTAAAATTTGAGGCAACAGAATCAACTTGCTTGAACAACATGCAAGTTAGTCTCTACACTTTTAAGTTTTACTAAACGTATGCCAAATTATTCAACAGTTACCCTTTAAATATTTTTATATTCTCCTTTCCACGCTTTCAAACTGCAGTAAGAAACCTAAGATGTTTTGAAATAAATGGATATAAAAGAGCGAAGGTAAGAAACGGGAGGAGCCTTTCCATTCTCATCAGAAGCGCACCTGCAAGCTAACCGCAGGCAAAGAGCCAGAGTGCTGGTAAGTCTCTCTCTCTCTCTCTCTCTCTCTCTCTCTCTATATATATATATGTCGTCATCATTATCACCATCGACCACAGACTCTTTTCTTTAAGAAAAGAGTCTGTGGTCGATGGTGATAATGATGACGACAACGACGATGATGGATAGTAACGGCTGCCGTCAGGTTCCCTGCGCGCGCCTTTAGAACACTGGCGGCTCTGCCGAGGGGGCGGTTAGCTGCTTCTCCGCCACAAACATTTCGCCCGTCACTTAGCCGGCCTGTCCCGTCCGGTTCCCTCTCGAAGACCGCTCCTTGCGTTCGCGGGAACGGCCGGCGCTGCTCTTGCTCCCGGGTTGAGAGCGCAGAGTGCTGGTAAGCAGGCCTCACTAAAATAAAAAGCGAGGAGGAAGAAGGGCCGTCGACCGACAAAAAGGTCGAACGCCATGGCCCCAGAGAAGCGCAGAGGCCGCGCCAGAAAGGGGACCACGCACGCGCATGGAGCATGTGTGGAGCGGTTTTTGTCGCCTGAGCTGTCAGAAGCTGGGAAAATATATAAACAGTATATGTATATTTTGTTTAAGTGGTTATGATGTATGGCCATTCTTCCTTATGAACTTTTATGAAGCCTCTGTCCGCGGTTTCTTATCTCGCGCGCGCTCGCGCGTGTATATGTGTGTATTAGGGCACTTTGAGTAATCACCCGGTTTCCCATCTGTGTATATTTGGGGGCTGTTTATTTTCCAGCATGGCATCTCCAAGTGTTTTAACAAATGGAAACTAAGAGATTGATTGGTAAACACCTTCAGCCAGCAAGATCTCTGTGCCTCTCTTCTCGTGGTAAGTGCCTTTATCACCTCAAGAATTTGTGCAGAAAACATATTAATACAGAGATTTAGAAGGGCACTCAGGGTATTAATGAAGAATTAAATCTATTCCTTTTATTTTTACAGCATCCTTAGCCACAGTATCAACAGACTCTGGTAGCTTTCAGGCTGACTTTCCATGCAGTGCTTCTGTCTTTTTACATAATGAAATTAGTTCAGTAAGTATTACTTCAGTAAAACAGCAACAACAAAAATTTCTCTCTTACTTGGCTATAGTGCCAGTGTCACAACCCCAATCCTTGAACTTGTTTTGAAATAGCAGTCTGTAAAATGATAATTGTGATTATCTTGTATTTTAAACTACTAGGATGAGAACTTTGATTCAGTCAGTCAATCAATCAATCAATAGCCATCCATTTCAGCTGATGATTGGATAGCTTACAATTGAAAAAAAATACTATTAAAAATATTAAAAACAATAAAAACAGTAAAAACATCCAGATTAAATATATGTAGGAGCAAAATTTTTGGGCAGTTAGCAATACTGCCAGAAAATGGGTTCTTAACACATTCAGCACCCCAGGCATGAGAACATAACCAGGTTTTTAGGACCTTATGAAAGACTGACCCCAACCCTGTTAGCCTTTCATAAGGCCCTAGAAACCTGGCTATGTTTTGGGAAATATGGAACATTCTACCCCTGCAGGAAAAGTTTGTCCTCTGGTCCCTGCCAGCCAACATTCTGTACTTTACTGCAACTACCCCCAATAAAAAAACTGGTATAACCTTTCTGAACTAGCAAATTTTATTAAAATGAATAAGTCTTTGTGAACTAGAGCTAAATGATATACAATTTAAATTGGGATGAGGTAGAGAAAAATGAAAGAAGACAGTTGATTAGGCACATGCAGGTTATATGTTGGACAGATTATATGCCATATGAGAGTATATATAAATGTGGTGTCCCAGTTATTGAAGATATTGCTCATGCTCTTTTTCACTTTCATAGAACCGTTTTGACATAGATATTTAACATCCCATTTGAAAGAACAGCACACTGGGATCTGAATTACAGATTGTCCTATTCTCTCCTGGGCTCTAATGAATATATTGTGAGCAGAATTGCTAAGTCTACAGTTAAAACAGTCAAGCTAAAAGCCCATTATATCAAACAGATTGGGGTATTCTGCAAAGGTCCTATACTTATTTCAATGCTGATTCTCTGTATTTACCACATATTATTTTATTATTGTATTTTTATTTATTTTATCTGAAATTAGATCAGATACTTTTAAAAAAATATGACCAGAAGACTAATCAATAAATTAAACTATGTTGGACAGATTACCTTATCAACTGACAGCTATAATGTATTAAATTTTTTTAAAACATTTGTTGAAACATCTTTAAACAGCTATATAGTATTTAGAGGACTTCTAATATGATATATGCCATCATTTGCCAGCCTTGATCTTCTAATAGCTCAGAATTTGGACAAAATAATGAATGGCTACACATTGATATCAGGAATCAAAAGAAGGACTAAGTTATGTGGAGCATTTAAACTTCCAGGGCACTCTACTGCAAATCTCAAAGTGGTTATTTTGCAAAAATGAGATTGTAGCAGCAAGGATGAATGAGCAATTGTTGAACTTATATACATCAAAAAGTTTCAGGCTACCTCAAAAGGAAGGTGTTTTAACACAAGTATAATCTGTTTCACATGTGAGCTGTATCTTCATAACTTTCTTATCTTATTCCAATTTAAATCCTATATCAAATTGCCCATTTTTGGCTAATATAGTATGATTCTCTTCCTACAATGTGCATACCAAATTAGTACATACTTTGTAAGATCTACAGCTAGTCCTCAACTTACAACTATAATTGAGCCCCAAATTTCCATCGCTAAGCAGTAGTTGAGTTTTGCCCCATTTTACAACCTTTTTGCCACAGTTGTTAAGTGAATCATTGCAGTTTTAAATGAATCGTGGTCATTAAGTGAATCCAGCTTCCCTCATTGACTTTGCTTGTCAAGCTGGCTAGGAAGGTTACAAAACCTCAGAACAGTGCAGAAAAGATTCACTTAAGCATGTGACTCATTTAACAACTGCAGTGATTCTTTTTAACAACTGTGGCAAAAAGGTTAAATGGGGGAAAATTCACTCAATAACTGTCTTAGCGTGGAAATTTTGGCTCAATTGTGACCATAAATTAGGGTCTACCTGTATCTTGTCCTAAATGGTACCTAAAACCAGCATAGAAAAAACCTTGACGATTTTGTGGTGGCTGATCTGACAGTCTTATAGTACTTTCTCATGTATGCCTGTGAAAAAGTTGTGATAGAATTTGAATGAATCTTGTTTTTCCTTCCATAGTGACTACATAACTTCTAACCTTATGATCTGCAATTAAAGTGTTTTGGTGGTGTTCTTCACTATTAAAATTACATGTGGTATACATTGTATTGTATGATTCTGTGTATAATACCTCGATACAATATCTCTTGCATGAATTATCAAAAGTTCCTAGATCCTTATTATATAGAAATATGTATATTAGATATATATGCATATTAGAATATAATATGTATTACACTTTATTTTAGATATGTAAATCTAATGGAATGCTGGTTTTAAATGACAATTTGATTCCTAGTCTGTCAGTGCAACATAAAAATGAAGTCACAAAAGGTAAGTATTAAATTTTTTAAAATTATCATGAAGAAATACACAAAATATATTTCGGGTTTTGGGTTTAGACTTTTCTAGTAATTTTCAATTTCAATTCAATATTTGAAATTTATCTGTGAATTTAAATGAATTTGTATTCAAGAACTCATTTAGCATACCATGCTTACAGCTTAGGTGGTATTTATATTTCAAAAGCTCAAGGAATAAGCCAAATAATGATTGCATGTCAATCCAATCTCTTTATAACACTAGACACTGAACTTTAAAACTCTATATAAATTACTATAACATTTAGTATAGAATGATAATCATAATTCAAACATCCAGAACCATACTTTGTTATTTTTAGTTATAAGGATACAGATTTGCTAACTAAAATTCATCTGTAAAATTGTTTGCCAAAAAGTCTAGTTACTGATTAGAAGATGCCTGATTTGTTTATCAGTGTTCCTATCACTTTTCAGTAATAAATGTTTGTGTTGGCAGAAAGAATAACATATAGCAGAGATTTCCTTCTGAAACTTTCAGGGGTTTCACTTGCCCAAAAGAAGCCAGAATTTCTTCCTGATCATCCTATTGTACTGGAAAAGCCAGTAAGTATTTGAATTTAAAACTGAGTTTGTAGAAATAATTTTACTGACATTTAAATTAATAGTACAGATTTATTGTATAGTGAAGTTGCAGCATAGATATCCATTTTTAGTCACAATGACAAAATGATGCTACAGATAATTTATTATGAGATTAGTTATCTCTCGTAGTTTAGGGAAGAACCACATTTCTATCACAAATGATAATTGCTGCTGCTTACTATATTATTTTATGAATAAATGGAAAGAAGTCTGAATATATTATGCAAATATACTCCTTGACCAAGAATGACCTGCATACAAAATCTAAGCAGAGTGCATTTTGTATATTTCATGGTATTAAAAACTATTATCCTTTAGATGTAAAAATAAACTGAAAATGATTGAAATGAGTGGAATGAGGCCATGGATGTCTGAAGGCTTTAGAATTAATACAGAACGGATAGGTGTTCATGATTTTCCAACCGTTTGTAAATTTCAAGTGATGTTGCACAAAAGTATATGCCAAAATGAAAGCAGATACATGAGTCCTTCCAAACTTTTCCCCGCTAAAATATTGGGGATGGGTTTTATAATGAAAGTAGGATATACTTGTATATGTACGTGTATATGTGTATGGGTGGTGAGACAGACAAGGAAGAGCTTCAGTAACAGCTGCTCAAGCTTTGTAAAAAGCATGCTTCTTTAACAGTGGGGAAAGTGATGCTGTGTTTGTGATTTGAAAAATAAAGAATGCAGCTGTATTTTTTTCTGCATAGCACAGATATAATTTTTTCCTGTCATGTTTTTACATGGATTTTGTAAGCTCAAGAACAGGTTTTTCATATTTTTTATTATATGAAGCGTTACATGAATTGTTTAGATTGAGTTATTGCTTATAATTCCATAACTGTGCAATCATTCACATCATGGTTATAAATACACAAACTACATGTGATTAAAAATCCCTGTCTAAACTTTACTAATACAGGTAATCTTGATTTATGACAGCAATAGAGCTTGGAATTCCCATCGCTAAGAGATGCACTTCAAAGGGAGAGAAAGAGAGAGAGTGCAGGGTGCAGCAAGGGTCAGAAAGATGCTTGGGGTGGTGGTTAGAGAGGGTACACAAGAGTACAGGTGAGGGAGGGTGCATGGGTGTGCACAGGTGGCCAGCATAGCATGGAGTAAATCTCTCTCCACAGTGACTTGTGACCTTCCCTACCACCTTCCCCATTGACTTTTGGGGGATGCGAGCAGGGAAAATAGAAAATGAAGATCGTGTGGTTGTCGGTGCTGCAACCGGCTATAAATGCGAACCAATTGTCAAGTGCCCAGCTCATGATTGCATGACAATAAGGGTGCTGGGGTGGGCAGAACTCTGAGGACTGGTCATAGCCATTCATTTAGCGTCATTGTAACTTCAAATGGTCACTGAACAAATAGTCATAGGTTGCAGATTACTTGTATATCTTTCCAGTGATGATGAGCTTCTGGGCTAATGGGTGTCATCTAATTACAGTACCTGGTATCCTGACATTTCCTCAGCAATTGTGGCTGGCATTTTCTGAGATGACAGCGATCTGCTTTGTAGCATATTTCTCAGATCTCCTAATTAGACCATAATCTATTACTCTGGAAGGTCATCACTATTAGATGGCTGTGAGAGCCTCCATAAGTATATTAAGCATATTTTATTAATGAAAATTGAGAAGAGAATGTCTGAAATAACATTAACTGTATTGGATCTAAAAAGCAATTTGTGGAGGGGAAGGTAAAGCTCAGAGTTGCCAGTAGGGAATAGTAGTCTTCTGGATGTCCTGTCACACATTCTTTTATCCATAAATATTGCTAGTATACTTTAATTCATTGTTTATATATTTTCCATAGCTCTTTTAGTTATGTCAGAAGATTGAGTTTCTTAAATAATTTTCAGTTTTATCTTAAATTGTGACTCAATCTAATAAATGCAAACATGTTTCAAAGATTATTTAAATATGTAATGTTTTCTATGAACTAAATGTGTGGGCCTTTTGTTTTGTAGAAAAATTATTGTTTATTACCTGCTACAAGCAATGATAGATCTTTCTGAAGATAAAGAATGCGTCTCTTTTCACCACTTAAAAAAATTAAGGAAAAGTGATCTGTAATATCAATAGACTGAATTCAAATGTATCTTTTACAGTTGGTGTAATCATCAGTAAAGCTATATTCAAGCAAAAATGTATGTGAATCAACTTCAACTTGTCTGATTCTGAACTAGTGTTATATTAAGATTTTTGTAGTGATAAAGAAACAACTGAAGCAGGATCATTATCACTTGTCAAGTTTTGGGAATGCTACATATACATTGCAGTAGATTTTAGTTCCTAACAAATGTGAGGCTAATTCCTCACCTTTTATTCTAGCAAAATTCCAAGTATTGAGAATATGCCATATGTCTAACTGCTATAAATGGAGCATATCTTGTGGCTGTTTGCATTTTGACTAGTTGCCAACCCATCATAAACTAAACTGAGTTGGGGAACATGGACCTACAGGGAATTTGTTTCCATGCTCCAACCTTCTTGCTAGATTGTAGAATCTTTTAACAACAATATGTACAAAAATTGGTATGAACCCTGGCATCTGAGGATTTTCATGCCAAACATTTAAATACTAAGAAGCAAAATATGACCATAAAAGATGTAGATTGTCTCATATCCTTAGTCCCAACTTAATTAGCTGTATACAGGCTATGGGACTGTTCTGTATATTACAAATGCCAAGGTGGCACAGTGGTTAGAATCCGGTACTTCAGGTTAACTCACTGCTCACTCCAGGAGTTCAATCCTGAGTGACTCAAGGTTGACTCAGCCTTCCATCCTTCCAAGATTGGTAAAATGAGGACCAAGATTGTTGGGGGGGCAATGAACTGACTCTGTAAACCATTTAGAGAGGGCTGTAAAGCACTATGACGTAGCCTATAAGTCTAAGTGCTATTACTACTTGTCTTTTTGTTCAATGTTTAAAACTTCCAATTCAATTATTAGGATTTAGGTGCTATATCATTTTTGAAAGTTTTTTAAAAATATTTTAAATATGTATTGGTTATGTGTCAAGAATTTGGTCTCTACATGTGTCATTCCCTCCCCCCATCTCAGATTTTGCTGTATACTCTTTTCCACATTTTTTCCTAGCATTTTTCCACAACTCCACTTTTTTTGATATCAACCTAATTCGATCCATTTGTTTAAGATAGAAATTGATCAATTGATTTGCCACCAGAACCTGATGTCATGGGCTGAGAAAGAATATTGGGTCAAACTCACCCAGCCAGTTTTCATATTTAAGGTGGAACTAGAACTCAGTTTTCTCATTTCTAGCTGATGCTTAAGCTTTAGAACTACTAGATCAAATTGGGTTTCACTTTCTTTTCCACATGATAGCATCTAAATAGTTAACAAGATTTTGAATTCAAAGATACATCTAGTCCTCTAGTACAATGGTCCTCCTAACCTAATAAAGCTAATCAATTACTGTTGTATTTTGTTCCTTTCAAACGTTTCCAATTTATGCAAATATGTTACATTTGTAATGTTTTTCTGGTGAACATTGAACTTTGTATATTACTGGTTATGAATGTAAATGTGGGATGATATTTGCTTTTGTGAAGATTTTTTTTTGTTGCTGTGTACAGAGCAACTAAAGATACGTGCTTTCACTTGGGACAGCATTTGAACATTTACATACGTACAGTATATATTTATCAGACTATTCCCTTTCAAAATAAAGGAAGTAAGCACAATAAGCCTAAGAAATTAAAACATAATAAGACAAAGAAATTAAAGGCATGTGATAAGAAAAAGAAACAGCCAATTTTAGACATCAATGTCAATATCTTTCCACACTTGTCTGTGCAAACTGTTCTTGTTTTATGCACTGTCCATATAGTGTCTTCCTGCCTCCTTTTGAGGTTCTGACTTCAGTTCCATTTTCTTTATCAAACATAGCTACCTTAGTTTTTAATAGCTTAGTTTTCAGGTCCATGATCCCTGTTGCATCATACAGTTTAACGTTCATTGTAAATTATTCAAGTTTTCAGCCAAAACCATAGCATCATCTCCATACAAAGATGTGTATTCGTATTCTCTCTGATGTCAACATAGCTATTCCATATAGATTTCTTTATAAACATAATATAATGAAACTTTTTCTATTAACTATAAATATAAAACAGTAAAATACTTTAGTTTCTTCACAGTTATTTTCTGTACACATCTGACTAACATCACTACACTAATTTAGAAGACATAACAATTTCAAACGATGGTAGAAATGAATTTTCAGGGAACTTTACAAAAGATGAATGCAATAGTAAATACAAGCAACACAATATTATATATAAAAAGAACCGTGACTAAAACGAATTTGTAGTATTCCATCCAATATTAATCACAACAAATTTTACAACATGGATTTGTTTTTAAATGGAAGAATCTGTCCATGAAAGAATAGTCATGATTTGCTAACTTCAGAGACTATGGTGGTTCTCTAGTGCTGTTTAATGTAAAGCCTATTTTTAAGAAGTATGTACTTCTAGTTGTTCAGGATGCACCAAGAAGCTGAAAAGCAAATATTCATGATTTAAATAATCTCATATTAGTAATTCCCATCAACATTTCAAAGGACTGCTTAGTTTTAAAGTAATTTTGCAGCATGTAAATAGATGTTTCACTTTAGTAGTTATACCAATTAGATTAAAATATACTGACATACATATGGTAAGAAATATTTACAGTATAGCTTTGTAGAGTGATATGAGCAGCATATAAATTTAATAGATAAGCAAATAAACATGAACCTTGCAAAATTCCTACAAGATTACAATATTTTAAATGGCATAATATATCACACTTTGACTAAGACACTTAAAAATTGTTGGGATTTGGCAGTCTTTTTTATCTGACTGATAAAACATGATAAAACACAACAGCATAGCTTTAGAGAAAATTGTCATCTGCATATAAGTTTATGTGTTGATTTTAGCCTGATTTTTTTAAAAAAAGATCTTTGATATGGGATGGGAGCTAATTAAAATTCATCAATTAACAATTTGGTAAAATGCTGTATTGATAAAAATGTATGTTTGACATTTAAATAATTTTTAATTTGGGAATTAGATTAATCCCATTAGAAAGGTATCATATCTGAAAGAACCCTTATAGATTAACTTTGCTACTTCTGATGAAAGGGATACATGAAGTAGAATATTTCTAGGTCTTAAATTTTGTGTGGATACAGAAAAATTTCTTCAACTTTTTGGTTCTTTCTGGATCAGCACTATCTGACCCATGAAAATGATCAATCCTTTAAATTATATCTGGAGGCACCCATGCAGCAAATAAAACTTAAATGAATCAGAACATTTGAATCATAACTTCTACAACTGTACTCCCTATCAATAAATGCTTTTGAATTATTTTAACTGAATAGAAATGGGTTGGACTCAGTGGCCTGTTCCAACTTTGAGATTTATAGAATCAGAGCAATAATTCAATAGTATAGAACAAATGTCTTCAACTAAGTTTATACAATCCATGAAATCTTAATATTTTTATTCTAAAACTCATATAGGTAATCCTCCACTTAGAATTTCCATCAGGCAGTGCAGACGTAAAGTGACATGTCATGTAACTGCATTGCTTAGCGACTGCAATCTGGCACTCCCCATTTCCATTGTAGGCCCAAGTCACAATGGTTATTAAGAAGAGAGAGGCAGGAATCCCAGGTGCAGAGCATGAGAATGCTGTTGCGGGTGGAGGCCTGGAAAGGATGACCATGCATGAGTTGGTGGAGGGAGTGCAGTATGGTGTGAACTCAGGAAGAACAGAAAAAGAATATGCTGCAGCTCAGGGGCTTCCTGGCACTCCATGGCTCTGGGGCTGCAAAAAGCCCCTGAGCTGCAGCATGAAGTCTAGCTGCAACCTGGCCCAGCAGTACACCCACAAAGCTTCAGTCTATCTTCATGATCCTTGCTGACTTGGGACCTGCTACCCATGCTGACCTTTGCCACCTTTTCCCTCTTCCTGATGGCTGAGGATTTAGGCATTGGGTATGGCTTAACTTGCAAAACTTCTCCCCGGGAGGACAAGCTGCAAAGACATCGCTTTTGCAGCAGATGCTACCAGAGGTGATCTTTGCAGAAGGTGCTTCCAACAACAGCTGCAGGGTGTGCACTGAACCTCTGGACCACTGGTGTCCTCCACATCCCCCAGTTCTGCCACTACCCTGAACAGTATCTCCCACACAGCTTCCATGTTTGTTGGGGGGCTGCTGCTGGCTCTCTTGCCTTGCCTGGCAGTGGAGAACACTTTGCTGTCTCACTGCTAAGCCTAGCCACCTTGTAGGGCAGACAAGGCTTTGTGGTTTTGCTGTGCTCACTGTGCACATCCCATGGCTACACCCTCATCCAATACTTGAATCTTGGCCCTGCACATGAAGAAAATGGTAAACATCAGCCGTGGGAGGTGGCGGCGGGGGCGGGGGGGCAAGGATATGTAGGATAGGGCACCCAAAAAGGCAGAGATGAGACTATAGGTGGGGGGTGGGAGTCACTATAGCTTTAAATGTGAGAGGGCCCAAATTTTGATCACATGATTGTAGGGAAGCTGCAATGGCAGCAACTTCAGGGACTAGTTAGTCTATTTTTTTCATTGCTGTCATAACTGCTGAATGAATGGTGGTTAGTTGAGGTAAATTCATCAGGGTTTTTTTTGTTTGTTTGTTGGCAACATTTACAACTTGGCATTATGTGTGCAACTAAACTAGGCTACTAAGTCTTGTTTACTGTTTGCAGAAACAAAGCAAAGCAAAATAAAGTTATGACTAACTTTAACAGAGGTGTATTTGGAATTGACAAATACACCTCAGTTAATCTCTAATGCCACCATGTATTCAATGAGATTTATACTCTAATAATATTTTCCAAATGGATATTTATTTGTTACTGTTTCTTAGAGTAGAACTAAATAATGATTGGGAAGAACATAAGGAAATAACGAACACTTAAAGTTAAAAAAAAAAACCATTACCAGGAACAAGCATAGTTGTAATGTTTTCTGGAGTCTCCAGGCAATCTACATTACTTCTTTGGAATGACTTGCTATAATTCATCTGGAGATGACTGGAGAAATAAGTAATATTTACCTAAAGTCATTCTTACATTTTTTGTTTTACATTTTATAGTATTAAAATGTACCATTAAATTAATCATGAATAATACAAATAGCTCAATCCAAGCCTAGCTGTTCCAATTCACAAATAAATGCTTCAGATGTACACAGGCTCATAACCAGACAGAACTCATTCAGAAACATGATCTGTGATTAAATTGTGTCAATGGGGCAGTGTGCAGCTGTGAATTGTTTTATCACAGAGCTTCTTATCTAAAAACAAGATAGGGCCACCATGGGCTTCTGAGATATTTGCTCTGGGGCTACACTTTTATGTCCGAAATGAGTTTTCACATGTAAAAATATTGCCATATTAAAATGTATTCTGAGTTTTGATGAATCAGTATTTTCATCTCTAAATCTATTAGAATCAACGGATGCTTTTATCACATTCTTTTACATTGCCTTCTGCTGGCCACGAAAATCTTTTTATATTTTAAGGTTCAGTATTAGGGACGTGGTGGCTCAGTGGCTAAGACGCTGAGTTTGTTGATCAGAAAGGTCGGCAGTTCAATCCCAAGCATCACGTAACGGAGTGAGCTCCTGTTATTTGTCCCAGCTTCTTTCAACCTAGCAGTTTCAAAGCATGTAAAAATGCAAGTAGAAAAATAGGGACCACTTTGGTGGGAAGGTAACAGCATCCCGTGCGTTTAGTCATGCCGGCCACATGGCCATGGAGATGTCTTCTGACAGTGCTGGCTCTTCAGCTTTGTATTGGAGATGAGCACCGCCCCCTAGAGCCGGAAACGACTAGCACATATGTGCGAGGGGAACCTTTATACTGCTGGAATAGGAAGTTGATATTTTTCAGAAAGGTACCTATAAAAGTAGCAATGTTGGTTCCTGATTAAAGCAATTAATGCAGAAGACTGACATGCAGTAAACTGCTTATATTGCCTAAGCATGCTGATGCTGATGAATAATAGTGTTTTAGAAACCTACTTACCTGTTCCAGGCATTATTTTCCCAAAATTCATAAACAATGAAACAGGATTTGCCTGAAAGTTTCTGGATAGAAACACTAAAATATAAGCACAAAATTATTTGGATAGAAAACAGCTTATATTTACATTTATTTAAAAACAGTTTTGTCTCTTTTTCAACTTTGGATTGGAATAAGCCTAGTGATAATGCCTTGTTTCTGTAATATTAAACTAAGTTAAAGCTCACCCTTTTTTATGACCATGAAAATGAAATTTTAAATAAATCATTCCAGCACTACAACCTCATATAAAACTAATTGAAAGCCAAAATGCATTTGCAATAAATGGTACACTATTCAGAGGAATTTTGAACCTAAGTTTGAGCAGAATATATTTTAGCAAAAAATAGTAATTTCTTGGCCATAGCATAGCAGCCATGTGATTTGTAATGTAATAAAAACTTAACATTCAAAGTTAAACTTTTCAATAATGAAGTATGTGAACATATGCATGATTATTTTTATTGAAACTTTAAAAACTGAAATACTGTTAGTTTTTGGAAAAAAGGAAGAAGAATTGAATCTAACCTCCCAAAATTTGATGAATGGAAATTCATAATCTGATACCTAGAAACTACACAAGGAGTATCTCTGATAGCACACAATTCCGTATTCAACTGGTAAGATTTGTAAGAAAATCTATTTCCTTGGATATTTGACCCTTAGCTGAATGAAATGGAAATACTCAATTATGTGATGCAGCTACTTGGGTAATTACAGCAAAATGTCAAATTTGAGAATTGCCAGCAGATGGCACCATATGCATGGAAAATGATACATAAGATTAAATGGAAATTCTCTTTAAGTTTTCTGTATCCTTATCAGATTACTGATGTTAATTATTTTTTCACTTGGACAATAGTTTCTAGTAAAAGTGTTGTAATCCTATTTCACTCACATTCTTTTGTTCACTGTAACTTCATGAATTTCAGTAGATATTACTTTGACGAAATGGACAATATTTATATGAATAGCTAAATATAATGCAAATATATATTTGTTTATATAGCTCTGAACTAGATTTGACACCTAATTTGTTTTGTCAGCAATAATCTGCAATAACATGCAAACAGAAATTGAAATTCAACCTTTGAGAAAAATCTAATCTATGCATCCAAATAAATTGACTGGTTAGTCATAGTTTGTTAACTTTCTGGAAGTCAGAAAGTAGAGCATGTTACACAATGTGCTATAATGTAAAATATCTCCTTTTTAACAAAAGTTTGCAGTTAATAATAGAAATTGTACATCTTGAATGATTTATACTGTAATATTGGTACTCTGAAAGAAATTATCAGGTGGTATCAGCAAGGTGCTTGACATAGGTAAGCACTAATTCACTTATTGGTTATCATTTGTATATTCAAAAACTAACCTTTACTACTTGTATTTACTCAAAAGTAAGTTCTATTCAGTGAGATTTACTTCATAAAATGCATGTTTGGGGTGCATTTAAACCTTGTAGCTGACACATCTGAGGAATAAGACCACTCTATTCAGCCAGATTTATACCTAGGAAAATAAAGATTGTCTCTTCTATCTTATTAATGGTGGCCTGACGTTTACTGTGGCCCACTGTGGCATTTATAATTCCAAGAGAACAATATAATGGAGATACTACATTTGCTGAATTAGCCAGCCTAGGATGTTTTATAAACATTCTTTATTAATGATTTCCAATGTCTCCCAAAGTGCAATCTCCCTAAAGTATAATGACCTGTATTCTTCCATTCTTTGAGAATGACATACTCACTGCAGGCATCCATCCTGAGAAGAGGCCATATCTACATACTGCTTTAGAGCAAAGCGGAACGACTCTAGTTCTTCTGTGATTACTGACATCTGACGCTGAACAATCATTATTTGCTGGCAAAACAGTAACGCAATCCAATTAATTGACATTAACTATACTGTCATCAAATTATCTTTTTTTTTTCATTTTTAAAGCTTATTCTGAGATTGCTTTTCAAGTTCTTCCTTGTAACCCCAGCCATGTTACTCTGGCTCCACTCACGTTACAACCCTTTATATCCCCTAAAGGTTTTTTTTTTTTTTATCAATTCTCGGTTTCTCTTTCACATGCTATCTTGCTTTATGAATTCAACATGTAAAAATGCTTCTAAAGCTTACTTCTAATATATGTTTGTCTAGGCTTTTAAAGCAGTTTATTAAGCTAGAATGCATACAAAGTGACATTAGCTGGGATAGGAAATATTCAATCCTTTTGTTGATTTTAAAATGGGTCAGTCAAAAAATAGCTAAGTCTGAACCCAGCTCCAAAGATCAAATGATAAAACAAAAGCAAAGTTTTTCATGTTTGAGTGCAGGAGTAGAGGAACATGTAAATAAATAAACTTTTGTGATTTTGGATCATTCTTTCTAGAAAGCCTTTATTTGAAACAAGTGCCAAAAAAGGTTGTGGATTGAAAGAAGATGCCAGCCTTAGCAGAACGGATTTAGAACTCTTGTTCCTTCTGCTTTCCCATTCATATGGATTCCATGGGGTGGAACTGAGAAATATTACTTACAGATTTAGTATTTCCTTCTGAAACCTCTTCTAGTGGCTCAAGCTTTAGGTCCTTGTCAACGAATAAAGGGGAAATACAAAAGTATAAGGGTTATCTAGTGCTTTAACCATCTTCAATAATAATAAAAATACTGTGATTCCTAATCTATTTTTGTAGAAAATATCACATAAAATGGAGTGGAATTTAAAGATATTGAAAAGATTATTTTCCCTTCTTGGGGAAATAGTCTAGCATTGCCCTGTGGATGCAATAGCTTGTGTATGGAGATAACTGACAAGGGCTCCATTTTAGGAGTCAGCAAAATACATCTATGGAGGTTTTTAGAATAGTTACAAATATTTCTACCATCAAATCTTTTCAACCCAAGATTATGCCAGGGGAGCATCATATCCTGCCAAGAAGAACCCTCTTCTGATTTATGACAGACCATAAAATTCAATTTTTATGGTCAATGTATTTCCTCTTTTTCAGAATTAACTATTTTTGTCTGGAATTGGTTGAAGATGGTCCACATGACAAGCATTAGGAAATATGGTTGCTACAATGATAAAGCAATCAACAGATAGTAGATTAAACATGTTGGCAGATGGTGATACATTAATAATTTCAGCTGGTCAAATCTGCAGTCAAATAGGATTTGCAATGTGGGGTACATTAAAAGATAATCTACTTGTAAAATATCACTTTTTAAAAATATGGATTAAAAATAAGTATATCCTGGTCAATCAACATGCATCCTTTCTCTTAAAGGCAATATCTCATGCCTCCTGGAACTTCCTTTATGCATGTTGTTTAATGATTAATAAAACTGTCTACTCTATAATGAAAGGCAATAAAGATATTAAGAGAACAAGAGTGGGTCTTACTTTTCTCTGTGAATTCACTGTGTACTTTTTGTAATATACTAGTTTTTGTTGTTTACCTGCTCAATGGCAAAGAAATATTTGTATTTTTTTTCCTGATACAATTGTGGCTTTTCTTGAACTTATTTATTTTTAAATAAAACTTCCTTCTATTTTTTTAATTAAGTCACAATCCCTGTTCTAATTTGTATCATATTCAAACTGGATCTATCTTTTGTCAGCTTCTCTAACCACACAAAATTTTATTCTGTTGTTGAAAAGTTGCCCTATCAATAAGTGGATTAACAGACTCCTTAAGTGCTGGAGATAATTGACATACCCTGTGCTGTACTGCTTTTTGGTTTAGTGAAAATATAAAAAATAGTTGGTGACATGAAGGGGGTCAATGAGGAGTACACATCAATGTGTCCTCTTTCTAGAACAAAGTAAACTTCAGAGATTCTTAAACAAAAAAGAAACCTTAAATATTGGATGGATCCTATTTCTTACAGAAGCTTCCAATAGCAAAGAGGGATGTAATGAAGTTGTCATGCACACCTTCTGTTCTAGCTTATCAATCAGCTTCTGAAGTCTGTTTATTTGGGTCATCCACTGGTTGTCCTCCTTATGCAAACCTTTGTAAAACATAACATACCTGAATTGAAATATGATTGAAGATTGTACTTGCTTAATAAGACACACTTTTATGATACCTATGTATTGTTTCTTGGAGAGGGAGGGGAGTTTTTGTTTCACTGGACAAGTGGTGCAAGTAAAGTATAAATCCCATGTTGATTCTGTCTTGATTTAAATCTTTCTACTTCTGCTTTCTTTTGAAAATGTAGAAATCTCATTCCTCATAGATTGCTTGCACTGGATCAACCCCCTCCCCCCCAATAAATATTAGTAAAGATAATTACACCTGCAAGCTGAACTCAAACCCTCTGAATTTTTTTTGGCAGCCATTTCTTGGTTTGCTTTCTTCTCTTTTTTAAACTCCCCTTTGTCACCAATAATCTTGGAATTTATTATTTATGCACATACATAAACCACTTCTTATTTAAAACACTTCACAGCAGTTTAAAACTCCAAAATAGTTCTTTCTGTAAACTCTAACCAGGATCAATTTTGCTTAATTTCTGAGAGCAGCCAAGACTGGGTGTCCTGCTAAAGTGAACATTGGTGGGAAGAAAATTCCTTCAGAAAGTCAAGAAGAGGTTTGTATCAACCTGCCAATTGTTCAGAAGTGGGGAGATAAAATATATGTTCTCCACATCCAACTACAGTAAAAACAGGCCATAAAGGTAGAAATGGCATTTTCATTACGGTGGATTATCAGGATGAATATAAGTGGCTACTTTAAATTATTTTGTATACAATATATTTGTTTCTGAATATATTAAGATGTATATCTAAAATATTATAATTCAAATACATTGAAATATTTTAAACCCTGCAAGACATTTAGTTAATTGTTATTGCACGTCGTACAACTAAATCAAACACCATCTTCAGTGCACATCATGACCATGACCATGAAAATAAACACAAACACACATCCTTCACCCTTCACACATTGAACAGGAAACCCCCGACACCACACCACTGCACTATACAGCAGAATTCAAAAGAGCTACTGCCCTGGGATAGAAGCTGTTTTTTCAGCCTATTTGTCCTTATTTTTATTATTCTGTACTGTCTGCCAGATGGTAATAGTTCAAAAAAAGGGTGCCCAGGATGAGATGGATCTTTGATAATGTTTTGAGTTTTCTTAAGGCAGCAGGAGCTATAAAGCACTTCCAAAGAGGGAAGAGGGCAACCAATGATCTTCTGGGCAATGACATTAACCCTCTGGAGTGCTGTCCTATCTGCAATTGGCAAACCATACAGTATGTTAAAATGCTCTCTATGGTGCAGCGGTAGAAGGTCACCAGCAGTTTCTCATTCAGTTGTTGTTTTCTGAGAAGCCTCAGGTAGTATAATCTCTGCTGGGCCCTTTTGACCAAAGCTGCAACGTGAGCACCCCAGCTCAGGTCCTCTTTTAGGGTAACACCCAGAAACTTAAAATGGGCCACTTGCTCCACTCAGTCTCCATTGATAAGCAAGGGCTGGATGTCTGATCTGTTCCTTCTATAATCCACTATAAGCTCCTTGGTCTTACTGGTGTTGAGGACCAAGTTGTTGTCTCCACACCACGAAAGCAACTGGTCCACCTCATCTTGGTAGGCAGACTCATCCCCCTCGGAGATAAGTCCCACCACTGTTGTATCATCTGCAAATTTAGCAATGGTATTACTAGCGTGAGTGGGAATGAAGTCATGCACATAAAGAGTATAGAGTAAGGAACTCAACACACAACCTCTTTGGTGTACCAGTGTTAAGAATAAGGGCTGAATAGGTATGATTACCTAATCTGACCCTCTGTGAGTGGCCAGACAGGAAATCCATAATCCAAAGGCAGATTGAATTAGAAAGTCCAAGGTCCAGAAGTTTAGACACTAGTCTATGTGGAAGAATTGTGTTAAACGCTGAACTAAAATCCACAAAAAGCAGCCCTCCCACTCTTCTAGATGACTCAGAACAATGTGATTTAAAGTTAGCTGCAGATTTAAAGTTAGTTGCCGATATTTGGCAGATATAAAGCCAGTACTATACACAACATATTAAAAATGATCAGAATATAAAATGAATTTCATTTCAAAAATGAAATTTATTTCTTCATTTTATATGACGTCTTGCATGGATTTTAAAGAATGAATAAACAATGGTAAATATTAAACAACATTACCTGGGTTCAAAAGAGGACTAAGTGGAGAAAAACTATTATTTCTCTTGAGCCTTCGACCTGAACGTCTTCCTGGATGTTGTATTTTGAGCACCTCTGGCTTCTTTGGGACTTGCCTTTAGGGGAAAAAACATATAAAGCAGTTCAGTATTTAAATTATTTATATGTTGAATCTGTTTGCAACCCTTTACATAGAGAAACCTTATTAAACTTTCTCACTGTTTTTGTCTGTCACAAAATTGACCCTAAATACACTGGTCATCTACATAAAAACCAGTTAGAAATAAAACCAGCAACAAAAATACAGACCTAGATAACATTATTTGTGTTTCTATACTGAGTTAGGAGATCAAGATAGGATTCTCTCTTATATGTTCCCATAACAAGAGTACTGTGAGGAAGGTTGAGAATGTCTGCCTGAAGTCCTCTTGCGAGAACGAGAATCATGAAAGATCACTTTGGGAGTGACATATTGTGGACTAGGCAATGGGACAGAAAGCTCCAAAATAGTTCCTTTTTAGTTCAAAGACAGTGGAACCAGAAAAAAGAACAGCTCATCAATGCAAGAGCTCTCTTGACATCACTACCTGGATATGGATTCATTGGGAAGGAAGAGTCTTGAAATAGAAGGAATAGTTAGGGAATAATTTATGGACCACAGCTACTTTCAAGCAATTTAACTACAAATCTCAGGGCAGGTTTTATTTTATATAAAATAAAAGTATCATTCTGTAAATTACAGTAATTGAGCAAGACATTAGTCTATAGCAGCTTTCCTAAAATAATTTCTACCATGTAAATTATTACCACTGTGACACAATAGTAAGAATCTTACTGCTCTTGTTGGGTTTGTTCTTCTGTGGTTTCCATGGCGCATTCCAGGGAATTATGTAGAGATTGCAGTTGATTCAGAGTTTCTTTTAACAAGAAGCGAGTTACAAATTGTTCCAAAGTAGAAGCTTCTTGATAATTCTAAAACAAATAGGGATAACTAGTAAAAAGAAAAAGCTCACCATTTTTCAACTACAAGTACTTTCTCCCAAATAATAGTTCCTTACAGTCATAATTCTAAAATTAGATTTGGTATGTTCCAATTGTTATTCCAAATGGAAATTTGGGGAAAAAGTTAACAATGGTAAACCATATCTACATTCTTTCAAGAAAAAATATGTATGTTTCAAACTGATCATCAGGAGTCAACCTTGTAGCGAGTTAAGTGGTCCTTGGAGGCTGAAAGAAGGTTAAATCATATTAAATCATAATATGGTTAGTTTGGTTAGTTTGATTTTGCTTATTGTGTTTGAATTCCTCCATTGTAGATTGTAAACCATGATTTAGGATATTATCCAACTCATATGCTTGGGGGTTGTTCAACAAATCATGGTAAACAGCAACAGTCTATGAATGGAGATACTGTGACTCATTCAATTATGATTGAAACAAGTCAATAAGTAAAAAAACTTATTAGGTACTGGACAGTATTACTTTGCATTCTTGTATCATGTATTCAAGATTTGCTTTATTTTTTAGATTATTGGAAGATAAACTTTTTAGTTATTTATATTTTCACCTTGTTGAATCCATTCTCAGTCAAATAACTTGCCATATTTAGCACCACAAGGAAACTTTTAAAATGTTAAGGGCAAATTAACATTAGAGCATGCTTATATTCCAATGACTTTTAAAATCCTTATAGTGAAAAATGACCAAATGGCCAATATAAAAATCAGTAAAATACAGATTTGGAATTGTTAAACCTAATTTTTTTAAAAAATCTATCTACCCCTCATTTAAAAATGAAAAGAATTCAGAAACATCGATGAAAAGGTCTACTACTATAAAACCTCACCTGAATTCTCAATGAATGATTCTTGAGAAAAGCATCTGTTCCCTTATCTTCCCCTTGAAGATGCTCAGCCTTATCCCCTTCCACCCATCCAAATGATAAGTGACTCTGCCCGATTTGTGAGATTTCTGATTAGGTAAGATAGTGAAGATTTCCATTTTCTCCAGTATAACACTTGCTACAAATATTATGTGCAATACTTTAGCTGTGACCTTGGGGATCCTATTGGCTGCTTTTAATAGGTTACATACTGCTGCTCCCTCTGCCCTGGAATTTACTCATCAACCATAGCATTTTTGTTTTGTAAGCCAGTGGGCCAACACACGAAGAAGCAAATGTCCTAGAAGGGAGGAACAGGACAGCGCAGGCCTTTATCACTCTACCCTTGATTTAACTATCCAACTGCCCACCCAGCACACAGATCATCTGAAGGTGTTATAGGTGGTACATGTGATGAGCTAAGGCATTCTAGTAAAACAAGAATGGAAAGATACCATGGTAAAGATGAAGCCTGCCATTATTGTCCTTTATCAACTTGCCTCCTCACCCATCCCCAGCCTACATTAAGGAGAATGATTTATGGGGGTCTCACTGGCAGAAACTCCATTAATAGCCACATCCTTATTTGCCCCACAGCAAATAAGATATTAAGATAGCAACACCTGCCAAGTCAGACTTAAGGACCGGCTATGAGGATGGAGCAAATGATGTCATGATCGTAGATTGGAGGAAAATTGGTTAAATCAATGGTCCAAATATATTCTTTATGACTTCCAATGGTTTTTATATCAGCTTGTTTCAGTATGTGTTGTATAATTACAAAATCATAGCAGTACAATAATACAATTCAGTGAGTAGGGATCAAATATAAGCTATCTTAAGTTTCATAAGGAAAGCAAGGAAGAGTGTAACATATTTGTTATTACAGATATTATATTTATTTTTTAAAAAAAATTAGGCCAGAAGTATATCTTAGTTCTCTTCTGTTTTGTGGTAAAAGATTAAGCAGTTATTGAAAGCCCAGTTGTCGCTCATCTTAGAAATTGTCTATATTAATGGATAGCAGAAGGCATATTTTTTACAAATATTTATTTAGCATTCATGAACATTAATCAAGCCTATAATACCACCAGTCACAGTAGCTGTTATTTCTACAATTAAGAGATGAGAAGAAAAAATCCTAAGAAATTAAATTATATGTCACTCTCTGCTTTTAAGCTGATAGCAACTCTGCATGAAAACATTTGTGGCTGATTTTTGAAAGTGTCAGAACTCATTTGTACAAGTAAGGCTAATTTCTGTCTTCCTCTACGTAATTTGACAAGGCTGTCTCTAATTAGATTAAGGTTGATGTTCCTGGAAAACATAATATAATTGCTAGTGGCTTTCATTCTCTTTCATTCTCTAGACATGAGGGAGAATGTTGCCAGAAACAGATAACTTTTTTTCAGTGGACGCCTACAATTATTTGCCCTAATTATACCAGAGTAATTATATTTTTTTGTGGCAAATGAAGAAAGACAGATGAATTATTAGGAAATCCACCTTTCCTGTATAAAATTCAATAATATAAAAGGTGTATTTACTTCCCTTAGGGATGGGTCTTTCAAAGTCTGCCAACATCACAATGTCTCCTGGGCCAAGAATTTTGCTTTGGGAATTACTGTACAAAATAGTTTCAATCATGCTGATCTATGTTGTTTTCATCTTTTTTTCTTCAGAGAAGAACAAAATTTTCTAAATTTCTCATGAATTCTCATATTTATAATTAGCTACTAAATAGCCAGAAGTGTATAGGAATGTTCTGTACTCTCAGCTCTTCATTAACTGGCATTCTTTATATGAATGGTGAATTGGCAGTGGTAGGTTGTCCCATTCCGTTTCTGCCTTCCCATACTTGTTAAATTCAAAAGAAGGTTATCCTACAGAGTATCTATATGGGTGAAGTCTGCCTCCACTCTATCCTTCTGGAAGAATCTGAAGACTTGGCTATACCAGTTAGCCTGGGGGCCCACTGGAAGTGGCTATGGGACTAATTAGCTGACCCCACCTCACCCCTGCACTTTCTGCTCCTCCTCCAGATATCTTTTTAAAACTTTCATATTGTACTTCCATTGTTTATTTATTCCTCTGCTATTGTTATGTTTCCATTTTTATCATATTTCATTCCATTTTATGCCTTTAATCTGGTTCTCTGGCTATACAGTATGGCCAACAATGCAATTTCAGAAGTTTTTCTCATTCTCCCATAAATAAGAAGAAATATTTATAGCTCTAGATTGCTTTTCACACCAGCTCTATTCTTGGGTATTTTGATAATGTTAGGCAATGTCTTACACATCGATGATTTTACCTAATTGGGTTATAAAACATCTGCAAGCAAACATATACTTTTTCTATTGGAAGAATTTCAGCTTATTAGATTTTTAAAAATTGATTATGGGTTTCTTTTTAAACAGACAATAGAATAGGCTTCTTAAAGTTGTCTCATTCTTAATATAGACTTGTGTAGGAATATTATAGCAGTCCTCTGGATTCTTGCAGTTCAGATATGGCAACCTTATCTGTGGGTTGTTGATGTTGCTTGAGGAAAACAGTGGTTCATTTGTAAACACATATTCAGCATGTTCTTCAGGTTTAGACTCTAGCCCCTAGCATCTCCAGTTCAATATACAGGAAGTCCTTGACACAAAATTTATGTTGCTAAGAGAACAGTTGTGAATTTTTGCCTCATTTTATGACCTTTCCCACCATAGTTGTTAAGTGAATCATTGCATTTGTTAAATTAGTAACATGGTTGTTAAGTGAATCTGGCTTCCCTGTTGACTTTGGTTGTCAGAAGGTCATAAAAGGGGATTATATGTCCCCAGGATGCTGTAGCCATCATAAATATGAGCCAGTTGCCAAGCATCTAAATTTTGATCACATGACCATGGAGATGCTGCAATGGCATAAGTGTGAAAAACACTTATAAGTGTTTTTTTAGTGCCATGGTAACTTTGAACAGTCACTAAATGAATGGTTATAAGTCGTGGACTGTCGATAATCCTGGGTAGTCTGATTGTGACGTTTGATTAGGAAAATCCTCTGACTGAAATCTATTGGAACCACTACTGGTCAGTATTTTCTTATGTGTGTCATTTCTTATCCAAAGCATGAGATTACCCCAGACATTTAAGTGAAAAGGCTGTATAGCACAATGATAGAGCTCAGCCTTGAGATACAGGATAGTTGGCTTCCAGGTAAGGTTCAGTGGCAAACGAAACATGGAAGGAGCAGAGATGGCATTGTGCTGTAGATTGGTAGCCACACGGCAAATTTTGATTTGTATTAGTTCTTATTGGCAGGCCTTTTCTGCTTTGGAGCTTGTACTATGGCATTTTCCCCCCATCTGCCAGGTGGGATTGATCTCATATCTTCTGAGCTTCTGTAGGTCCCTTAAGATCTGGTTAAACCAGGGGATGGATGAAACAAGTGAGGTGGCTCCATTATTATTAAGATTCCTTTGCCTGCTATTTCTTTGTTTTTGTTTTATGTTTATAATCTTTTATTATTTAAATGTTTAATAATTAATAATAATGGTTTTTAGGGGTTTGTTGTAGGGGATAATTATAGAATCTTGCAAATTCGATTATGCTTCTTTTCCCTTCCCTGTTATACTCCAGTGAGTGAGTGAAGATCATCTGAATCTCTTCTTAATACTCTCTGCCTTCCCAGGACTTGAAGGGTACTTCTGTTTTCTAACATTCTGAACTTGGGACCTTACAAGTTCTTATCTTCTGTTTAGCCAGCCTCTTGCATCTTTAAGAGAAAACCTGTGGACATTATCCATTTCTCATGAAGTTATGGGAGTGAGGGGCCTATTATATATCTTCTTTTTGTTACACTTGTCCTTTGAAACATCTTGCCTTCCAAAACATCCCCAACTTCCTAGTCTTTAGAAAGCTGTTCAAATCCTAAGTGTTCTGTAAAACATTTGGAGGGTATTGATGATTGGGATGTCTGGAAATAGACATTAGATTGATTGCTTCTTGGTATGCCTGTGTTTTGGTTAATGTTAAATGCCTTGAACTAAGTATACATCACTTTAATAATAATATAGAGCTACTTGGAATTGGGCTGGCATATACTTTTAATAAATTATTACTGTTATTATCATTCAAATAATAAATACCAAGTATCTTGGTTTTTGCTGTTGTTAATCAGACTGCAAGAAACTTGTTATAAATAGCCTCTTTCAACAACATGATTATAAAATAGATATTTTAGGAATTAATCCTAATTGTAAGAAAGTTAAGTATTGTAGCACTGCAAAGGACCTTTAAAATGACATTTAATATGCAAGTTTCCTTTATTGTTAGCTGATGGATAGGAATACCATAGGTTTAGATTGGAATACTTATGTCATAATATTGCAGCAAGATGATTAAAACCATTGGTCCTATCCAAAGATGAAAGGGACTCTATTTCAGATAATATAATATTCTGTGTCAATGCTGTTCATCATTCCTTTAATCTTTATCTAAAATGGTACCTTCCCTATAAATTGGACATATTAAGGGGACAGCATATTGGGGACATTTGCTCTGGTCTATACCTGCAAAAGATGGTGCTTCCCAGTGGATTCCTAATTTATTCTTTGCTCTTTATTTTTCCTGTTCAGTAAATAGAAGTTGGTTATGTAACAACTCTGCCAGATAGAGAAAGCAACTTTGTGTAGTTGTCAGGTTTATAAGGAATAGTAGATAAAATAACCAAAACAAACAAAAGGGAGAGAAATAATGAGATGTCTCCATTATTTTGAAGGATAAAGCATTTCAATTTTAAGACACTGCTGTGGTAAAAATCTTTTCATTTCTTCTTTGATCAGGCAATTTTTAAGCTGGCAGAGATGCAGGAAAAGTCTTAGACCTATTGTTAATGTAATTACAGTTCTACTTTGCAATAGAAGTGACTCGTAGCAATTCCTCTCCAGGATAGAAGTAATGAGATTTATATGCTACACTTATTCCCAGTATCTTTCTTTCTTCAGACACTCTGTTACATGTACAAGGGCTTCCATGGGCCTTTGCCTCCCTTGCCTTGCATGCTGTGCTTTGTAACACAATAGCAAGTATTAGTCAAACATGATTTTGTCAGGTATCTTTAGCTATCTGATTCCTATCTTTGAAAGTGAAAACAACACTTTAGCCACACAAAAAACAACAAGATGAAAACAAATGATGAATGTGCCAAGGAGATGAGACTGTGGATCTTTCATTTGGGGGTTCTTGCAGGAAGGAACATCTGAAGAAAATAGAGTACAATTCAACCTGTCTTGGTGAGAGTTTTAGTCATTCATAAGTTGCTAATAAAACTCAGTCATATGTGAGGCAACTTTGAAATGTTCTATTCAAACAAAACCTTTGAAGGGATTTGAAGAAAAACAGAATACTTCAAAGTCTTCTGTTTTTCTTCAAATTTCTTCAAAGGCTTTGTTTGTTTTCAAAAAATAATAAAAATTTTAAAAATTCCTAATGCATATTTTTCATATTCAGGAAGGCCTTCTATACCCATCTTGTACTGTTCTACTTCTGAGCCACTGACTTAGTTCACATATCATGACAAACAATAATTGGTTTAACAGTGCTGGGAAGTAACATATGAACACATTGATCCAGCCTGTCAACTGCAGTCCAGACAAACTGTAGATATTCTGACTCGACCTTTTCTGTCACATGTGGGCTGCTACATGTAAGCAAGAAGCAGCCTCCCTCCCTCCAAAATGGCTACTGTAGTTTTGAGAGCCTGTAGGTGGAACTCCAGGTGAAAAGGAGAAGAAAGTATACTTGGAAAGAGGATAATAAATGCTGTCACAATCTCTTCCAGCCTCTGATTATTTTCAGAAAAAAAGAGAATTCCCAATAATTGAATCAGAAAGGGAATTTGATTCAAGGATACCTTAATTTACTAAAGTAGTGTTCCAAACATGGCAGATCTAAGATGAGTAGACTTGCTGGCTGAAAATTTTTGGAGTTGAGGTCCATTCATCTTAAGTTGTCAGGTTTGAAAAACACTGGACAAATTTTTTAAAAGGGTTAAAATTAACTTTTTTGTGTTAATTAAGCAGTATTATCTCTTAATCTTTTTACATTTAAATTTTAAGAAAATTAAGCATTCAGCTAGCAATCTTCATTACTAAAATCAAGCTAGACTCCAAAATACACTGCTCAAAAAAATAAAGGGAACACAAAAATAAGACATCCTAGATCTGAATGAATGAAATATTCTTATCAAATACTGTGTTCATTACATAGTTGAATGTGCTGACAACAAAATCACACAAAAATGATCAATGGAAATCAAATTTAGCAACCCATGGAGGTCTGGATTTGGAGTTACACTCAAAATTAAAATGGAAAAAAACCCTACAGGCTGATCCAACTTTGATGTAATGTCCTTAAAACAAGTCAAAATGAGGCTTAATAGTGTGTGTGGCCTCCACGTGCCTGTATGACCTCCCTACAATGCCTGGGCATGCTCCTGATGAGGTGGCGGATGGTCTCCTGAGGGATCTCTTCCCACACCTGGACTAGTTTGATACTGCATTCATAAATCTCAGGGAACCATAATTTGCTTAAATATAGTTGGCTAAGTCCCAGTTGCTAGATTCAAATAAAGCACTTGCCAGAATCGCTTCCCCTATTACAGTTTAGCAAGTGTTTTAGCAGCTTAGACCCAGTGACCCAGGCCAGAGTAAGGCAGGTTCAGCTTTTTCAGTGTCCAGTCATGTTAATCATGGCTCTGTGGGATTTTAAATTAAGTTTGCTCATTTCTGTCTTTTGTGCTGAAAATTAATTTAACAACCCAGTTTCTTAATCCGATCAATTGTTCTTATACAAAATATGTAGTAACTTGAAGGAACCATGGGATATAATAATCTAATCAATAAATATTTATTTAACCTGTTGAAATACTGAGATAGCTCAACTTCGTACATTTTTCCCCTCGGGTCCTGCTCTACCTAGTTACTGTGGATGCTAAAATGGAAGTTTTATTCCATGGCTTAATTGAGCTCTTTTTAAGTAAATATGTCGATCAAGACACATACTGACTGGGGTTATAGTCCAACATCTCTTGATGCCAGGATGGATAAAACTGTTTGAGAGACTTCAGTTTCCCATCTAACAGCATTGTCATTTTTTCCTGATCCGACTGTACGTAGCCCAGCACAGTATGATCTTTCTCTCAAGGCGCAGATTTGAATTAATGAGTTCAGTCTCAGATGAGAGTGTCTGGATAAGTCTTTTGTCTACCTTGCCTTGCAAGAAGCTTGTGATGACATGAGCAAAGGAAACCAATGTTACATTGCTAAAAAAGATTATCCACCCCAATATAGCGCATTATAGACTTATTGATTAGTTGTGACTCTATGATTCCAGCTTATTTTTACTATATTAGGAACTGAGCCTGAGTCATTTTTCATGAAAAGCATTATTCTTTCACTAAAGTACAGAAGTAAGTGGGATATTGGATATCTACCTAAAGTTGTTATTCTGAAAGCAGCATTTTTTATACTGCTTATATTTCATAAATAATAACTTCCATGTTCCTTCCCCATACCTTTTCAGATGAAACCCGAGAACTAGTAGGCCCTTCTAATATTGTTGGACCACCTTATATTCTTATCTGTCAATTTGATATACTGGTGGGCTAGGACTGTATGCAGTTATCATGTTGATAAACATTTTCCATCTGTGCTAAGCACGCCATTCAAATTAGACTTTAGGATTTGAAGTGATAAAAAAATGAGAATTCATTTATTTCAAGGCAGTAAAATACTGTACATCACTTTACATATTAATCTCAATATCATTTAGTATTTTGAGTTTCCATGCACCACTGGCTACAGTTAAGAAGAAACAGTGGGGAAAAATACACTGGTATAGTATGTAGTAGAGAGGATGGGTGTATGTGTCAATTTAACTGTCTATGCCCAGGCCCTAGAAATATTTCAAACAAGCTTGAAAGAGCTGATGGAACTGGGATTGATGATCACTTTGTCCTCCATCTAAGCAAATATAGCATTTTTTCTCACAGAGAAAAATCCTTACATATTTAAGCAATACAAGCCCCCATTACATCAAACAGTTTGAAAAATAATGCAAGGAACCTTACTTTCTTTGTAGCATCCATTGCCTTCAGTATTGCTACATTGAGATCTTCCAAAGCAGATAGGACGCTTTCATAAGCTCCCAGGTGCTGGGAAAAATATTCTGAAATAAATAGAAATAGAAAATTAAAAAATGGAAAGATTGAAAAATCAAAATGGAGAGGGGGGGAGGGAGGGAGGGAGGGGACCATAAGCTATGTCACCCAAATCCTTTAGGAGAGTAGTTTATTAATTTCTTAATACTGGGTAAAAGTGGTAAATCCCTCTGCATGTACGTTGTTCTGGTTTTATTTTAGCAGTAGCAAAAGAAAGAAGGAAGAAGAGGAACATGCAGAGAAAGAAAATGTCGAAGTGTAGTTTATGAAAGATGGGGTTTATATGCTTGCTTCAGAAATTATAATAAAGGTTAATTAGGGAAATCAGGGTGAAATATCTTTCCAAAAAGATTTTTATATTAAAAAAGAATGAGCGAGATATTTAATATAACCATGCATATTGCCTATGTAAACAAATACAGGCATATTCCTGTCCCCAGCCCACATAGTTCTAAAGTCATCACATGCATCCCAAGGAAAATGTATCCACTACTGCATTAAAGAACTAAGGGGACATCATACCCACTACTCCTTACTCAACATTGAAATATTTGTGAAGTATTCTATTTATCCTCCTGCAAGCTTTGCCTTCATCATAGTTCATCCTTATTGCCTTATCTTCATACATAATATTCCAGCCACCTTATCATATGTTTTCTCTTAATGAAGAACTGCACAATAAACTTTCTCACAGTCATATGTTGTTCAATGATCTGCTGAAGAGTAAAATTTTGATCTGAAGACCCCCTAAAATAAAATCAGGGATGGGATTCTACCGGTTCTATCTGGTTCTATAGAATCCCTTGTTAACTTTCTAAGCAGTTCGGAGAAGGGGTAGTTAGAAGCAATCTCCTTTTGTTTTTTTCCACCCTTATTACATTCTTGGCAGACAGCCTAGACTTACTGTCTCTGGAGCTTTTGGGGCTTGGCTTTCTTAAAGGGGAAGGGTTGTTTTAAGATTTTTACACTGCTGTTGGGAGGAAATAACTTCCCTGGACAATCAGCACTTTGAAGAAATAATTGAATAATGAAGCAAAGCTTTTAGTGACAAGGAATCAAGATGAGTAACATTCAGCAAGGCTTCTTGGCTAGCTAGAAAGATTGACATTCAAATGTGGGTTTATATACTCTTTCTGAGTTTTGGTCTAAAACTGTTTTTTGGTGAAGGTTAATTCTGTGCTTGGTGATGTTTAATCCTGTGTTTATTGATGGGATAATTTTCACTATTCAGCTTCAACAAGCAACAGCTACTGTTATGATTAAATTATTTGTATTGTGTTTGAATTTTTTCCTGCCTCATGGTTTCTTTTTCTATCTGGGGAGCGGGTCTTCCTTCACTGCTTTAGTGCTATTTGGCACTGTCCTTTTGGAGTGTACTTCCAAGAGGCAGGATGCAAGCTTGGCACTGATTTTTTTACTGCCTTTCTGGGGGGCATGTGACCTTTCCTTAAATCTGGATGATTTCCTTAGGATATCTTGTGAGGTGAGTGAGACCAGCTGATATTTTTAAGTGGTGCAAATGGATCTAAGGATTGCTTTTCCTGGGTGTGCTTTTTCTGGAGAGCTTAAATGACCTCTCCGCTAAAGGGTTTCACTTTATGAGCAAGAGTTGGCTGCTTGATAGTTATCACTGAATTTTAACTATTTTCATTCCTCAAGGTGCTCTGGCATCCTTCTTGATTTGTAACTCCGGCTTGCAGGTATTTTTAATCTAATGATTGGTATTTAGGGCAGCTTTTTGCAAGCAAAGAAGCTTTTTGTATTTTTGTACAGGTAATCCTTGACTTACAACAGTTCATTTAGTGACCATTCAAAGTTACAATGGCACTGAAAAAAGTGACTTATGACAATTTTTCACACTTATAACCATTGCAGCTTCCCCACTGTCATGAGAGGCCAGGTGAGGAGAAGCGCCCCTGACATGAATGATGTCGAGTTGGCAATGCCCACCCAGTCACATGACCACTAAGCCACACCTACCAACTAAGCCACGCCCACAGAACCAGTTGTTAAAAAAAACTGAATCCCACCCCTAAATAAAACCACTGTGTACACATCTACTTACCATTTTTCAACATTCTCATTATATTTATGACTTTCTTTTAATCAAATTACTTCTTAGGTACTAACAATAAAACAAACTCAACTGTCCTTATTCAGACTCACTAGTTTTCTCTCTCCTCCTGGAAGCGATGAATTTGATTATTTTATTTTAATTAAAAAAGAATTACTTACCAAACAATTCTTCCGTTTCCAAGTTGCTGCAAGGAAAAGATATAATATAGAAAATGCATTGCTATTTTGTGAATTCTGTCAACTTCTTTTAACTAGGCTTGTACACTAGTAACTTACGTGTGGGTTTGTAAGTTATTATCAAGTGTGCTTGACCAGTTTTTAATTGCTTTTATGTTATTTGCATGGATTAAAGTTTACACACACTTTATTTATTAGATATTTATTAACTAGGTATGCAGCTCAATTTCATCTCAAATAAAATTTCCAAGTTTTCAAGCTTGCATAGCAAGGTTGAAATATGCTTTACCATTAAATGCAAAATGGAACAGTTGAAAATGGCATAGCAAGGTAATAACAGATAACAGATAATCAGAGTTGGAAGGTACCTTGTAGGTCATCTAGTCCAACCCACCGCCCAAGCGGGAGACCCTACACCATTTCTGACAAATGGCAATCCAATCTCTTCTTGAAAGTCTCAAGTGATGAAGCTCCCACAACTTCCGAGGGCAAGCTGTTCATTGGTTGATTGTTCTCACTGTCAGAAAGTTTCTCCTTATTTCCAGGTTGCATCTCTCTGATTAGTTTCCAACCATTGTTTCTTATCCTCCCCTCTGGTGCTTTGGAGAATAATTTGACCCCCTCTTCCTTGTGGCAGCCCCTCAAGTACTGGAATATTGCTCCTAATTCTTCCTTTCTTAATAAGAAGAAACTTTCTCAAATAAAAGATGCAACTATAAATTCAATTTGCTGCCTTGAAGCATAAAAAGTACTTCAAAGACTATTTTTTCTCTACCAAAATGACAAATTTGAAAGAGAATACCTGTCTCTTTCTACATGAACCACAGAATAGAGAGCTGGAATAAGCCTTAATTGATGTAGAAAATTTAGAATATAAAGAAATTGTTGACATACCAGAAAATGAAAAATGTGGATTATAAAATGGATATGACAATTAAAATGAAAATACAAATGACAATCCAAGATGTCCTGGACAGTGACTCTTTGCAGGATTTACAAAAGAGGTTTGTTAAAGAAGAAGCTTCTGCAATGCGATAAGGAAATCTGAAGAGGCATCAAATCCTATGGCAATATCTGAATAAAATGATTAAGATTTCTAGAAGCAAAAGAAAGAAGTACAAAGTTGGTTTGTTTGACCAAGGTTAAAATAGACATGTTTCTATAATATCTGGGAATGCTTTATGGACTTTTGCTGATGCCAGGGCTGAAATGTTAATGAGTTATAGATTTGTGTATGGATAAGGGATGGATTATCGGAAGAAGAGCTGTTTTCATATAACTTTATAGGGTGGTAAAAAATTGCTATGTTTGTTTGTATTTGTTGTAATAAAGATTGGAAGTTATTTCTTTATTTTTTTCCCTCTTTTCCTTCTTTTTTCCTTTTTCTTACACCTATTCATTCATTCTTTTCTTTTTTAGTTTGTATTAAATTGTTTAAAACTTTCAATAAATTTTATTTTTTTAAAAAAGAAATGAAAAAACCTATGCATATTTGCAGACAGAAAGGAGGACCAAAAAGAAGAAAATTCAGGAAGCAACTGCTCCCTCAGCTTATTTATTTAAACACTTTATGCAGCAGCCTATTTTATTCTTCTTACTCAGGGATAGCTCACAAGACCTTAAAAAAACCAAAATAAAAGATTTGAATAACAAAAATAGAACCATAACAACAACAAAACAATGAGAACCGTGTACCATGGGCCAGAACCCACTAAAAACAATTTCTTGCTCAAATTGTATATGGCAAGCTTGCTTAGTATCTTGCCCCTGGACTTGGAAAAAAAACTCGATTTTAAAGCCTTCCTAAAGGCTAACGGGATGGAGGCCATCTATATCTCTGAGGGAAAGCTGTTCAAGACAGCAGGCTCTGGGACAGAGAAGCATGGGCGTCCCCAACCTTTCTGGCTTTGGGGACCAGAAGGGATGGAGACAGGGGATGACTCCCTGCAACTCTATTTGCACAAGCGGGGTGTATGTGCACTCAATGCTCACACAAATGGATTGCATGTGCACATGCTTGCACACTGCTCACACAAGTGCAGATGGGTTTGCATACATGTTTGCCTACTATTCCACCCCCTCCAGTTGCAACTACCTCATGGCCCACTAATGGGCTGTGGTTCAGAAGTTGGGGACCCCTGATCCCCCTACAGTTGATCTCATTTTCTGAACAGCAAGCCTTTTGGAAACTGAAACCACACACATTGAAGGAGTTTCGAGGCAGATCCTGTACCTCCTTTTTTTTCCGTTCAAGGGACAGAATAGTGAAACTAGAAGCAGATATATCCACTAATAATTGCAATAAATGCTTCCTAAACATTTTTTCTCAATGGCTCCATGTGTAAAAAGGATAGATGCATATTTTGAAAGGCAGTTGAAACTACCATAATAATCAGTGTGTGTCAAAAGTTCCAGTCTGAACATCTGGCTGACTGTGTGATGAATCATAATTGTAATTTTAATGTGCTTTGCTTTAGAAAAAAAAAATCATATCATACAAATCCATAAAAATCTAAATTAGACATTCTACGGACATTCCATGATTAGAGGCAGATTAACGTGCTTGAAACAGTTGCTAAATGGCACATTTAGAATATCTATAGAACGGTATCATGAAAACCCCAGTTATGTAGCCATGCCAACTGAAGAGAACTTTCCATGCCTAGAGCTTATATACATGGCTGCCTTCTACAGATTTCCCAGTGTATGCACATGGGTACAAAAGCCTCAATTTGAGATAGATGGTTTAGAAAAATGAAAAACAAACAAACAAATGCAGTCTACAACTATGATGCTATAACCCTAACAACATTGTTACTCATGTGCATTCTTGAATGAATAGGGAAGTTCAAAATAGCATGGAGAGCACTTGCCTACAAAGTTGCAAATAATCGGATATGAATGAATGGTTAAAACAACAACAGCTTATCAGTCTGGAACCCATATCATGTATCTGATATAGACACAATTGAAAAAGTCCAGAAATATTTCACAAGAAGAGTTCTCCGCTCCTCTATTCATTGCAGAATAGCTTATGCCACCAGACTTGAAACTCTAGATCTAGAAAACTAGAACTACGCCGCCTCTGATCCGCTCTAAATATAGTATATAAAATTATACATTGCAATGTCCTACCTGCAAATGAATACTTCAGCTTCAATCATAACAATACAAGATCACACAATAGATACAAACTCAAGGTTAACCGCACCAAACTTGATTGCAGAAAATACGACTTCAGCAACAGAGTGGTCAATGTTCGGAATACTCTACCTGACTGTGGTTTCTTCCCCAAACCCCAAAAACTTTAACCTTAGACTGTCTACTATTGACCTCACCCCTTTCCTAAGAGGTCTGTAGGGGGCGTGCATAAGTGCACCAATGTGCCTACCATCCCTTGTCTTATTGTTTCTTTTTATTTTTCTTATAAGTATCTATCTTGTGTATTCAAAACTATGTTTATTTTTATACCTGTACCTTGTAAGCGATTGACAAATCAAATAAATAAATAAATAAATAAATAACCGGGTTGAAAGGGGCCTTGGAAGTCTTTTTGGTGACTAAAAATCCCCTGCTCCTGCAGGAAACCCTCTATCATTTCAGACAAATGGTTGTTCAACCTCTTATTAAAAATCTCCAGTAGTTTTGGCTTCCAGTTTGAGCTTCTTCAGCGATAGACTGAAGGCTTGTCTCTGCGAGGCTTCGATCCGTGCTCGCTGCTGGAGCATCCCGAGCTGGCTGGTTTTGGGGCTAAGCCACCCTGTAGAGGTGGGGAAGAGGGGGGAGACTGCCAGCAGGGTTGAGGAGAGCCGCATCTCTCCTCCCCAGCTGGCCATTACTCCCTTTCCTGAAGGCGGTTGCAGCGGTGGTCAGAAATGGCCACCACAAAGAAGAACTTGACCAGAAAAGAATGTGCAGGAGGAAGATAAGAAGAGAGAGTTTTGGTTGACTGGGTCAAACAGCAAAGGCAACAAATAAGGTACCCTGGAATTGAAACTATTAAAAAACAATAACATTGTTCCCTAAGAAGATTTTTAAGCTGTGAAGGAGAGAGAAAAGGGAAAAGATTTGGGTTTTTTTTCTCCTTTTCCTATACTGACAGCTAAGAGACTTAAGCAAGAAATTGGAAAAAAATCCACTTTGACATCAATAGGCATTTAATGTGGAAAATAAAAAGTCAAAGGGATAATAAATATTTCTGGATAATTAAAAGCTTTTGAAAACAGGAGAGAAAAAGAATAAAAGGGCAGGATCTGGAAGGGAGGAGACTTCCTGGAATTAAAAAAGAAGTTACAGCAAAATCTCAACAAGACTTCCAAAAGATACATTCTAACTGAAATATCACAACAAAAACCCTAGGAAGAGAAAGTCGAAAAAGAAATAAGAAGATATAACTCAGGACTATCTGGATTACTTGATGATTTCTGGATTCTTGGTTATTGTTTTGAGTAACTAAAATCAATTGGGTGGTTATTTAAAACTGTTTAAAATGGCTCCACTTTTAGAAGAACTGAAAATAGAACTTAAAAAGTACAAAGAAGATGCACAAGAAGGGAGAGGTTCTTTTGGCTTCATATTTCAGTTTTTAGAAATGGAGATTTGGAATTATGAGAAACAACAAAAAATGCCTGCAGAACAAGAAGATTGCTACAAAGAAGAAGCCATCTTTAATGAACAAGTAATCTTAGATGGGGGGGGGAAGGAAAGTGGGGGAAAGAGAATGCAAAGTTTAAGATTGGGAAAAACAACTCCCCCCCAAAAAAAGAGTGAAATATAAGTATAAAATCAGAAAGCAACAGAAGACGGAAATGCAGAAGAGAGAATTAGAAGTAGAGAGACACGCGGGTAAAAAGGGGAGGGAGAAGATGAGAGAGAAGAAAGAAAGGAAAAGAAACAAAATATAGAGAATATAAAGGACAGAAACAAAATATAAAGGACAAAATATAAAATACAAAATATAAAGGACAGAAACAAAATATAGAGAAACAGGGCCTATTTAGAGATAATGGGTGAAAATTTAATGGAAAGAGGGATTCTGCAAAGGTACATAAGATGGTTATATCAGAAATAGAAATAATTTTAGAAAATATGAAACAATGTATGATTGAAATGTCTGATAAAATAGCTATCGTAATTCAGTGGAATGCTTGTCAATAAATAAATGTAACAAAAGGTATATTTAATGATTTATAAAACATATGTGAAGAGAAATAAGGGAAAAATTAATTATGGAGATTATATGTGTTTTTAAGGAAGTATTATATTTAATTGAAAAGAAGTGTTAAAGATGTTAAGATTTTAATTATTATTAATGATAGAACTGTACTGGAATGGAATGAGGTTTTATAAATACAGATATTTACAATCTTTTTTAAAAAAAAAAGAATATAGTGTGTATTTTAAGAATGTACCAAGCAGAATTCGATTGGAAGTTATGTATTATTGAAGGTCATAACCTTAAGGTATATATTGAAGGTATATATTGAAGTTTAAATAAGAGTTGAATGGATGTAATTAAAAGTTATAAAGGTATCATACTCCAATTAGTAACTACAGGAGAAAATTTGTTTAATGAGAAAAGGCAATATGAAATTGAAACAGAACAGACAAAAGTATAAATATAATGATTTGAATTGAGATGAGATAATCAAAATAAAATTGAGAAAATTAAAAGAGGGGAAAAACTATATAAAAACTGTAAAATAGTATAAGATATGGAATAGAATACAAAAAGGAGCATGAAATTGAGTTTTGTGTCTGTATAAAGAAGTTCAACCCGGGACCATGCTATTTTCAAAAAAGATGTTTTACTTGTATTTTGTATGTGTGAAAACCCAAATAAAACTTTATTTTTTAGAAAAAAAATCTCCAGTAGTTTCCAGAGGCAATTCAGTTCACTAATTAATTGTTCCAACTGTCAGGAAATTTCTTTTCATAGTTCTATGTTCTTTCCTTGATTAGTTTCCATCCATTGCTTCTTGTCCTGCCTTCAGGTGCTTTGGAGATTCACCCCTCTTCCTTGTGGGCATCCCCTTAAATATTGGGACATTGCTATCATGTCATCTAGATCCTTCTCATGAAATTAGGCATGCCAAATTCCTGCAACAATTCTTCATATGTTTTAGCCTCTAGTTCCCTAATCAACTTTGTTGCTCTTTACTGCACTCTTTGTAGAGTCTCAAGGTTTTTTTTAAAAAAATTGGGCAACCAAAACTGGATGTAATATTCCAAGTGTGGTCTTACCAAGGCATAATAAAGTGGTATTAACACTCCCAACCTTCTGGTAAAAGAAGAACATTAGTTTAGCTTGCTCAAACTGTGCCTTTGCAAAGCTCGAGATTCCTGGAATATGGACCACAGGAAAGTGGACCCATTCGTAAAGGCTGGGAAGCAAGCACTTTTACCCCCAAAGCAGTCTTGAGCCTGGTTTGGTATGTAACAGACAAAGGGCCTGCTCACAATCCATGGCAAAGAGGCTTAAAGGCACAGCTGCTATTAATATATTAATTGCTACAGGTGGGGAAAGTAGTGGCAGATACCAGCTGGGCTTCATGTCTCTAATGGTAATTTCAGATTGTCAAAGAGACTGATGTTGAGATCAGTTTTAGCAAAAAAGGGATCCAACGTGAGTTTTCTGATTTGCATTTTTGAAAATGTTAAATGTTAAACATGTAATTATCATGTTAGGCTTATGATTGACAGAGCTCTTCCCTAGGCTTTGATCTTAAATAGGTTGCCATGGCTTTTTATTGCTATCTACCAAGACTTGTGAGCTTATAGCAGCTGCACCAAACAGCAAACATCAAAGCAGAAATAATGCCATCAGCAAGATATTCATAGTAACTACCTGCTAAATTCAAACACAATGTCTGCTTAACTTTAAGGCTTTCAAATCTGGCCTACAAAAAATATGTACCATCACAGATGGGAACAAAGAGTTAATGTTCACCACAGAATATCATTATGCTGCTCTCTAATCATCATTTGAATTTCTAAAGCCCAGATCTGGGAACCTTACAGTACTTAATGTAGACTAATAAAGGCAGCCCTACATGGTGGGATATTTTAATCATGGTATATGATTCAAACTCTGAGCTGGTAACTTGGAAGACATGCTTATTTGGCTGACATATAAATTAGATTTGTAACTTAAATCCAAATCCAAAATGTCATGTTATCTGTTAATATAACTTCAAGACAACAAATGGCTATGATTATTTCCCATTGGATAGCATAAAATGAGAGTCTCGAGGCCTTAGGACTCCTGTATTGAATGCCATACAAATAGGCACAGAGGTTTTTATTTAGAGAGAGGCATCTCTAAATTATATTTAAATACACATGCACAAGGAAAGCATGTGTATGTATGCATAACATTCTTCTTGGAATCCAATAGAATTTGTAGAGCCATTCTTTCATCTTGAATTAATGGCATCAGGGATGTTTATATAAGAGCAGCTTTACAGTTTTGGTAGGATCCCAAAGGTGCTTTTCAAAAGGCAACTGGACTCTTGTTTTTTTTCCTTGAAAATGTTTCACTTCTCATCCAAGAAGTTTCTTTAGTTCTTGGATAAAAACCCAAGAAAGTCTAGTTGTCTTCTGAAAAGCACCTTGGGGACAGCCATAACCTGGATGACTAAGAATCTCCATAGACAGTTTTGAAAGGGATTTACTTTTCCTTTGCACAATAGCATTTTTAAAACTTTTTTTTTACTATTGGTCTGATAATGGTAAAAATCATTGACATATCTTTATGCAAGAAAACTATAGTTTAAAATGGCAGAATGGCATGAATTGACAAAAGAAAATAAAAAGGGGAAAGGCACTTTCTCAACATTTATATGACAATACAAAACAATCCATTGTTACTCAGAGTATGCATGGATCACTTCTCCACTTCACCCATCCCACTACTGTAGCCTGCATCCTTAGAAACATTCAAAGTTTGTAGAGTATGGATGAGGATATTCATCCATGCATTCATTTCATACATTATTTATAATGCAGCAAGTTTACCTGAAAAATCTGTACAAGAAAATGTCCCTGCCTCTGTGATTTTGAATTGATTATTTTAAAATCAATGCTACCTACTCTGTATTGTGTATGTCAATCTTCTGAAACAGCTGGTGAAGCTCCTCTATACTCAGGATTCCATCCTCAAAGTAGGCCTTAAATTCATCAAAGGACAATTTGCCATCATCTGAAATCAGAGAAGGATTTCTTACCCAGAGACATTTTACTGCAACTAATTTGAAGGTCATGACTTTTGAAAAAGAAGCACCACAGACTGTAATATTTCTAGTTTATACTTTTCTGCATAAAATGAAAATATCTCTCTCTCTCTCATACACAGGTATAATACACTATTATATTAGAAAAATGTGTTTCTTCTGACTACAGGTAGTCATTTTTGTGATACAGTGAAATTTGGCTGTTCGTGTTCTTATAGACTTTTTATGAGTAGTGTAAAGGTGAAAGGTTTTGTTTCGATTTTTAATAATGCACATCATTTTGGGGACCACCATTCTTGATTATTACAAAGCTTACTGTATATCGTATGGGAAATAGACATAAAGATAGCCTGTGAAGAGTCTTCCTCTTATGCACAGTATTTTTTACCATTTGTCTTAATGGTCAATTCCAACACCACATACCTTTATATGGTGTCTTACCAATCTTTTGGGATTACAACTCCCAGAAATGCTTCATTAACAATTCTGAGAGTCATAAATCCCAATCCAGACAGAAAGTAACTGATTGGATAAGATTACACTGAAGGTTCCTTCTTCTGCAGGAGGAAATGTATGAAAAGAACTTTTGTTTTCCTATCACAACTTTCAGTGTAGTCTTGTCCAACCAGTTACTTTCTGCCTGGGTTGGGATTTATACATTAATCAACACCAACTTAATGGCATATAATCAATAAAAAAGCAACCAGTTCCATCTCTTGCTGTATGAAAAGTGCTATGCTCCATTCACAGCTGCATGAAATGCCTCTGTGATGATGGTATGTAGTGTCAATAAGTTGGTGTTTCTATTTTACTGAGTTGCCCATTCTTTCAATCACCTATCACATCTTCTGGATCATTATGGTTTGAGATACAATTTCAACATAATCACTCAGCATTTGGAAAACAGGAACCCCTAAACCATGAAAAAAAAAACAGTATCTTCTGCATTCTCGTATTGCCCGTAACAATGTAAGAACAACATGCCAATATAAAACACTGTACTACAACCTGACCATGAAAAACTATTAAAAGATATTGGCAGGAATAATTTTCTTGAAATATTTTGTTTCTAATTTCTTTTGGGACACAGCTATTTACTTATTACAGAATATAAATATGACTGTCATTTATTATCTGGGCCTAAGATTACTCTTGAAAAAATATTTTACCTCACTATCCCTTGACATACCAGTAGAAGAGGAACATTCATTTTTGTCTTATTTACCCATGTTAAATATGTTAAAACCTTATAATGGCATTCTCGCAGAAAAAGAGATATGCAAAAATAACTTCAATTTTCTCAGAAGAATATTAGCAGCTAGATAAATAAAATTCCTTTAAGGGGAGAATAATTTTAAGGCATTTTAGTGATAAGGCTTTCTGATTCTCAGAATCAAATTCTAGTAGCTATTTTGGCTAGAGCTGCTAGTAATTTATAGCAAGGGGCACGACCTAAGATATCTTGGACAATTTCAACAGCAGACCATAATGTAATCCCAGGGCTTTAGACTACTTTGGGAAGTAGTAAGAACAACAAAAAAGAAACAGTGGGAAACCACTTTGATAAGAAATCTATTTGGAAATGTCCATGAGGTCCACTAGTTAACCTCAGCCGAGACTTTTCCCCTTTATTGACAATTCACAAACATTTGGAGAGGTTTCTGTTCCTCACTCAGTTTTTCCACAGTATTTTATAACTGAATATGTTGTTCTTTTGTCCCTTTGCAAAATAGTTACATAGTGTGCAGCAATTAGTTTTCAATATTTAATCCTTTAGGCACTCTAGCCACTGCATTTTATTGCTCCCTTACTATCATTTTAATTTCTTCCTAATTTAATTGACCCTGTAAATTCTGCTACATGAAAGCATGTTTTCTATACAGTGACTATAACAAAGATATTCTAATTTGCTAACTGCATCCTAGGCCTGAATAGCTTATCATTTCTACCTCCTTTTGTTGCTGCATCTTCACAAAGGTGAACTTTTAAAATTGGGAGGGAAGATTAGAGGGGCAGATAGGAATTTCCTTGACTTAGTTTTTCAAGTTTCCAGAAATAGGAGTAATAGTTTTCTCTCAGAAATAACTTCAGCTTTCTCTATAGAGTACCTTTTAAAAATGGACAACAAAAGTAATAATATGAATTGGACAGAATCAGAGGTAGTATTCAACGGGTTCTGACCAGTTCTGGAGAACTGGTAGCGGGAATTTTAAGTAGTTCAGAGAACTGGCAAATACCACCTCTGACTGGCCCTGTCCCCATCTATTCTCTGCCTCCCAAATCCCAGTTGATTGGCTGGGTCTTCTTTTGTTGCCTTGCACAGGAAAACGGACCTGGAAAGCAGGTTAGTGGTGTGGGGAGGGAATGGGGATCTTGCAATATCCTTCCCTGCCACGTTCACCAAGCCAAGCCACGCCTACTAAGCCACACCCAAGAACCGGTAGTAAAAAAAAATTGAATCCCACCACTGGACAGAAGCCTCCCACTCTAGGTTATTAGAGGAAAGTTATTTTAAAATAATCTATTGCTCAATGTTTTTGACTCATGAACTTAATCAATAATCTGTGGTCCATGGAAACAGACAAAATTTGGATTAAACTATCAGTATAGCTCCAAAGGTTGGGCCACCAGAAGATAATGTTCCATGTTTGTCCAAAAGGATCCTATTGTAATGTAGGAATAATGTTTACTTCGTTGCTTCTAATAGTCACGGATTTTTTTGAAACCAATATAGAACATAGAATATTGTGTTGGAAGAGATTTGTAGGTCTTCTAATCCAAACCTCTGCTCAAACAGGTGACCCTATACTATTCAAACAAATAGCTGTCTCTTCTGGAAAACCTCCAGTATCAGAGCATCCACAGCTTGAATCATGTACTAAACAGGATTATTATGTATCCTATATTGTTTCACACATATCCATTTATATTGTGAATATTTGTTCCATCATCAGAAGCCATCAGTGCTAAATATTTGTTTCCTAAGAAAATTTTGATCATTTTTTCTTGAATGGGTGCCACTGTGAAAGGAAAATTCAATTTCAGTTAAAACTAAAAATGCAGGCTTTGCTTTACATGATTCATGAACAGATCTTTTCTAAAGTGATGTTACTTCAGGTACACTGAAAGAGATCGCAACCATATATCGATTTCCTTTGCAACAGTGCTTTTTACCTTCTTTCACAGTCTTAGCTATCTGTTTTCTAAAGTGTTTCATTAGCATCTCCTCAAGTAGCCATAGAAACCTGTTCTGAGCAAGTAACACATTTGTTTTATCTAATAATTATGCATCAATGATTCTCTCAGCTTTTTTATCAGGCTATCATCCAACATCTGGATCCTAGATATATAATGTTAAGTATAGTTGGAGTAAGAAGATTTCTGAAAGGAAGATTTCTTTATACTGATGCTAATAATGCAGTCCTCTTTTAGTGATTGACTCATTTATCACCATTCACAGTTACGACAATGATTTAAAACAATCATTTTTTTGTTTTTAAAATTTATAGTTTTACAAATACAAATCCTTGCAGTTATGATCCTCCCAGGTCTGTAAAGCAAAGGAAACCTGAAATAAGAAATTAAGCACAGCCACCAGTTCTTTAGCAACCTCAACAGCCAGGTTGCTGTCCCAATTTGGTCATTAAATAAGGATTATCTGTAGAATCTTATGCCATTTAGGTATGGTGAATCAGAAAAGACACAAAGCTTTTAATATCTAATAAGCCTGTTGCTATACAGCATAATTATGAATTACGCTAAAGCAAAATTAATGCCCAACTGAAGCCCAGGTAGTATTCTGTTTCTTCGTACTGGTTATGTATTTCCCAAACAGCATGTTGTAGATAATTGAATTCCAGACCTTTGGAGGGAATTCAGATCGCAAAAGATGTTTACCCTCAAATAATGTCAGTGCGCGTAAGTATTAACATTTACAAAATGGTGGGATATAATTTAACAATCCAAACTCCTTTCATATATTTTCTAATGTTGTTAAAAGTGCCAAAGTGGAAGGACATTGTCAGACGTGCCTCCGTTTAAAACCCAAGATAGAAATCCCACAACTCCATGTTTGTAGAGAAAAGGTACTTTTACTGAGTTAGAAGTGACAGCAACGAAAGGAAAGCAAGATCTGAGGCAATCGGCGTGAAAATTGCATATTGAAAGTTATCCCAAGTTCCCAAAATCCCAGACTGGACGTCCAATCTCCAGTGTGTATGGTGTCCTGTGGGGTACATCTTCAGGTGTTTTTTCTCTCATCTGGTATGCCAAGACAGTTGACCTTGACTGGCATAAACAAGTCCATGCAGTTGCGGAGTAAGCATGAGAGCATCCCCCCACACTTGGTTCACACAGAAGTCATCTCCACTCTCCAGCAAACTTCTTCTCCCAAATGCCAAACTTCCCCCATCCCCATCTCTATGGCAGCCGACACCAAGCAAACCTCCAGAGGCCTCATGAACGCATCATGAAGGCTGACAGTTACGTATCATGATATTGTAGCCTCATCTTGTAGATGTTGACTGGATATGATCTACCAATAAGACTGCATATAGTAAAAACCTTTACTTGTTGTTCTGGGAACATGTTCTACTGAATCCAGGTGGCTATAACTCTCAATAGACTGTATAGAATTGTGTTATTAATATTACTTTAAACATCAACCAGATAATCAATAGTAAAATCTGTGATTTAAATAAAGAAATATTTCCTTGAACAAATTGGTTAATAGGTTTTGAAACCATTTTCAAATAATGTTGCAGCTGTTTTTGTGGTAAAACGATAATTGGCAAAAAAAAATATAGTAAAAAAGAATAATTGGAAAAAGGATTAAACTATCATGTTTTATCTAACAAAAGCAGTAAAAACTAAGTGCAGCTTAATACATTCTGAATGCAATTCCATGAAAGGGGGGATATTGCAAACATCAGAGAAAGAAAGCCCAATGCTAATAATTAGAAATAAAGGATGAATATGTTGTATATTGTTTCTCTTTGGGCGAGAAAGTAGAATTGGCTTTTGTCATGGAGATGGGATCTTTCCCACTAGCTCCTTAGACAGATCTGTGTGAAACTGGGCCAGTTCTATATTTAAAACAGCAGGTCAGATTATGTGGTCCCCAATTGTTTTACTACAGATAAAATCTGTTCAAGAACAGGAATCTCGTATTCGTTTTATTTAGGGTCTTCTGCCTCAGATGTGCTTCTCATTTGCTTTTTTTGTTTTTAGTTTATTTGGTTCACAGCTGTTCTTCCTGGCATATTATGAATGATACTAATATCAGGTATTCCAAACCATCCCTCCTCAGCTTTTCATCAGTTCTTAATTATTGGATTTTTTAGTGCCTTGTTTTTTCAGAGCACTGCTGGAACCTCTGCACAGCTGTTGCTCCACAGTTCCAGATTTGCATCTCCAGCTATGAAATCTTCTCTGCTGGTGCCTTTTAATAGGCAAAAGCTTTGCTGGTATGTTGCAATGAAGTGGGAAGACACTGGCAATAGTTTGAAAAAGGGGTTTCAAAGCATGTAGCACCTGACTGGAATTCTTCGGAGCAGCTGTATTTTTTCCCGGCATCACAGGGAATTTGTAATACTTATATCTGAGGGAAAAATTATAGTCAGGGCTTTTCCCATTTTCATATTAAAGCTGTTTCCCTTCTGGCCATCACTTTGGTGACATAAAACTGTGATTACTGTTTAAGGGGCACAACAATGATTAAATACCTCTAGAACAGGGGTGTCAAACTCAAGGCTCATGGACTGAATCCAGACCATGGGGTGCTTAGACCTGACCCATGGAGCCAGCTTGGAAATAGCAAAGGACCTGCCCATGGTGCCTCTGCTAGTGAAAATGGGGCACAGGCAGGGGTGGGATTCTACCAGTTCGCACCTATTTGCTAGAACTGGTTGTTAACATTCTAAGCAGTTTGGAGAACTGGTTGTTAGAGGAAATTACTGGCCTAATCCTGTAAGGAAGGCAGGAAGGAAACATTCTGGTGTTGCTTACAGAAACTGCCTCTCCATTAACCCTTATTACATTCTTGGCAGGACTAGACTTCCTGTCTCAGAAACTTTTTCCTCTCCTTTGCTGGTACTTTGCTTGTGTGGAGTGACCATTGAAAAAAGTGACTTATGACCTCACACTTATGACTGTTGCAGCATCCCCACAGTCACAAGAGAGGCCAGATGAGGAGATGCGTGCCTCAATGTGAGTGATGTTGAGTTGGCCATGTCCAGCCAGGAACATGAGCACCAAGCCATGTCCACCAACTAAGCCATCCCCACAGAACCGGTTGTTAAAAAATTTGAATCCCACCCCTGGGCACAGAGACGGCCCCATGCCCCATTTTCAGCCTGGTCAGCCTCCTGCAGCATACTGCCAGCTAAAACAGAGTTTGGGTGTATGTCTCGTTTTGGTTGGGAGGGTGCTGTAGGAGGCCATCTGTCCTGTCTCCTCCCCTACTCATTGGCCCGCAGAGGAAACTACAATGCTGATCCAGCTCACCAGGAAATCCAGTTTGACACCCCTGCTCTAGAAGATGTATAAATCCCTAGGGATGGACCTGCCTAAGTATAAATGTTGTGTGTAAGACTCCAAGAAACACTAGTGTGTCAAAGGGAGAGACTCCACTGTCCAACCCATGACTGGACCGTTTATGGTCCTTGACCTAGTAGTGCACATTACTGCCAGAATGATGCACAACAATATTTTTAGGTCAAGGACTTAAACGGTTAATTTGTTTTGTTTTCACTTAGTGTGTGGGTAAGCCTAACCACTCTAGATTATGAACTATGTTTTATAACTTGTCATGATGTATGGACTCACCATTGTTATTTATTCAGCAAATAATGGTTGAGCCATGGCTTTACATGATGTGTAAACAAGCTTGTATATATAAAGAGCTTTGAATAGATTTATAATTCCTATTCAACCAAATATCCCAACAAGTCAGATGATCTCCATGGAGATAGCATGATAGAAGCCCAGTGCAAGCTACAATGATGTACACATGACATGATTGCACACCTGAATTATGTCATTTGTATCATTTGTATGATGGCACAATAGCAAGCATAGCATCCCCTGTGGATTCCCACAATTAGTACCATCTGGACCAGTGTTTCTCAAAACCTTGCAACTTTAACATGTGTGGAATTCAGCTCCCAGTATTTCCCAGGGAGCATGGGAGTCGAAGTCTACACATCTTCAAGTTGCCAGTGATGATGGATCAAGCTCCTCAGCCAGGTAATTTTGAAGTGACAAGCCACTGCCTCTCCTAGGGAAACAGAGAGCAACTTGAATTAAATCCAGAGTGTCAAACTCAAGGCCCATGGGCTGAATCCAGCCCATGGGAACTTAGATTTGGCCCACGGGGTCACCCTGGAAATAGCAAAGGACCCGCCCAATGTAATCCCAATAGATTGGTAAGACACCATATGAAATAGTTTTTTCTGGGAGGAGGACTAAAGGAGGCCCTCACACCCAAAAACAGAGCTTGTGGTCCTTCCAAGCTCAGTTTTCGCTGGCAGAGGGTTGCAGGGAACCCGTCACAGCCAGAAACAGAGGTCGGGAGCCTGCTTTCACTGGCAGAGCACTTGGACCACCAGAGGTGCCCTGACACGAGTGATGTCGAGCTGGCCACGCCCATCCTGACCATGCCCCCGGTCCCCCTGTGTCAAACTCAACCCTGATGTGGGCCTCAATGAAATCGAGTTTGACACCCTGAACTAAATGTTCCTCCAACTCCCTCACTGTTTTATTTCTGTTCTAAGAAAGAAAAGCAAATGATTAGACTTACCATTTTTATCTGCTCTTCTCAGAATCTAAGAGGGAATAAAGCAATATATATATATATATATATCAGTATCAACAAAGAAATATTGTGATGCTTACAAGGACACACTTAGTAAACTTAGCAATGTTTTAAAGGACTTTTAAAAAGAAAGGTTTACTAATTATGATCCCAGTACAGATAGTACAGTACTACAATAGACAGTACTAATTATACTTTTGAAGAAAGTTGCATTTAGCAATAGTATTTTCTTTTGACCAATAGGTGGTGCACATTTGCAATTGATTAGATGCCAGATTGCCCTTGTATTTGGTGCCAGGTAAAACAGTTCACTTCTGTCAAGCTTTCTAATCAATTGTGGAATGATGTATCAGACTGCTGAAGAGAATTATAGGGAAGTTGTCACTGACTAGGTATTCTAATTCGATGTTCTACTTTTTTGTGGCATTCTGGGAATGTTAATAAAAGACTGGTGTTGGAAACATTGATCCAAAGTGCATCCCAACATCTCAACAAGGAATTGGAATAGACATTTGTAATTGCATCATTTTATTAAATGGATGGATTTCTGGTAGGTAGAATTCCAATACACCAGTGACCCATTTACATGAAACATTGTCAAAAATTATAGCTATTCCGTATTTATGGATTTATCTATATGAGGACTGGAATCACCTGTGACAATGAATATATTTGATGAATTTTAACCAGATATTCACATTTCAACATATTATCACATATTTTTTAATAAGTGATTTCAGAATATTAAGGCTACTGATATATAGTAGCATTTAACAAATAGTATTTAATAGAAGATATAAAAAATAGTGTTTAAGATTCAACATGTTTGGACAATTGTCAACAAATGATTTTATACTACTTTCCAAATCCAACACTATCAAGAGCTTCTAATCTAAAAGTGTTTCGATTTGGAAGGAGAAAATACATACTGAAATTCTTAAATAAATATAAAATGTTTTATCTGATACTTGATACATGAGGTTTTTAAATATAGTCTGTTGCTACTTCTGTGCCAGGATTATTTTTTGCTTTTTTATAACGTTATAACTGCTTTAAACAATAATCTTCTTGTGGTTTTTACTGATGTTTTAACATTTTGTATATATACAAAATGTTATTGGGAATAACATTTTATATGGGAAATTGAAAAATCACCTATATATTGAAATGAAACAATATATTTATTAAATTCTATGTATACTGCATAGACTTCTATTTTCCACAGGAGATATTAGATTCAACAGAATAGCTCACTAATTAATTTGAAAGGTTAGCATTTTCTCTTTGATTTATTTTTTAAATCCAATGTGGTCCTAACAAATTGTTATTCTATCATTTATGACAATTATACTCTGCTTTTGCTCCACAAGTTCCAACTGTTGTACATGAATACTCTCCTTTTATTTTTCACCACACTAATTTAATGAAATGTATTAATCAGAGATAATAAAGGAATTAAAATAACCCTATGGCTCATATGATTTTAAAAACCACATCTCACCTGCCCAAGCCAAGACCGGAACCATTTTTCCTAATTATTGCTTAGCCTACAAAATAAAGTGCGTACATAATGCCCACACCCACCAATCATCCACTGATCTTCTAAGTTGTACCAAAGATTTATCTCTATCAGTTGAGGCCATCCTAAGGAAGCACCAGGTAATCTAGCATTACTGAAATTCACAACACCTTTTTCTAAATTTCCCATCCTGAACAGCCAATTCTTTTGCTTTGGAAACATACCTCACTGGTATTAGAGCAAATCGAATCAACCCTGTCAGACAGAATCATTGTGACTAATTTTGTAAACGCCAATTTTTACATACTTAGTTGTTTTTTAAAAAAATTAAAAAGAAATTTGAATAGAACTAGTGAACTGTCATTTTGGTATCAAAAATGCTTTCCCTTTTCTTGGTTGTGCTTTTAAATGTCTAATAAAACAGCATGGAAAAAATGTTAATCTAAATCTGTTTTTCTTATAGCGAACAGTGCAAAGCACTGTTAATATATTTGCCATGGTTCAGAACCTGTGATATTTGTGCCTCAGGTCGTTTATCATTCAGCCAGAGGGATCTAATTTGGAGGAGTCCAGGAGGGCCCATATCAAATAACCGCGATCTTGGTATTAGCATCATTTGATAGGATAATCTCCTTAAGATCAGGGAACTCTTGCTACGCATCGATCTGGGGCGGGCAAACGTTCAACAGGTTGAGGCTTCCGCGCAGAGAGAGGAGCAGAAACCCAACCTGTTACACGTTTGCAATAATTGAAAAGAAGAAAGGAAAGGATGCTCTCCCCGGAGGGGCGCCAACCTCCATCCCGTTCACAAGAGAAAAGGGTGGAACTTCTATGAAGCCCAAGGACCCAGCAGATCAAAGGCAGAGAAAGGGAGGCGAGGGAGCCGCCGCGCTTACATCCAGGAAGATGGAGAGCCCCTTGGTCCTGGTCAGGGCAGGGCGGCGCTCCTCGGAGGACTCGGGGGAAGATGAGGAGGCAGGAGCTGCGTCCGGGCTCTCAACGCCATCCATGCTTCGCTCTGGGTCTTCCTTTGCGGCTATGCCGGCGGGATGCGAGGAGGGAGGACGGCAGCTGCTGGCGGCTGTTCCTCCCGCTGCTGCCGAATCCCTCCGGCTCTTCTCGGCCTCTCAGCCGAGTCCCGATTCGCAAGGCGACCAAAAGGAGCCGCGGTGTCCGAACGAAGAAGGGGAACGCGCGCTCAGCCCTCGGTTGCCGCCAGCCTTGGCGCCGCCCTCACCTGGCCTTTCTGTTCTGCTCGCCGGCCGGCAGGCGCGGTGTTGAATAAAAACGCTGTTTCCCGGCCCCACCCCCCCTGCAACTGGCTCAAGCCGAAGTTAAGAGCATATGCAGAGTGCCATACAGTACTTTTATCCATGGGCATCCATCAGTGAAACCCTGATTGGCACAGATTTGAACGCTAGCATTAAAAAGAAAATAAATTAAAAAATAAAAAATAAATAGCACTGTAAGGCAGGGATAACTAAAACTATTGGTTGCCAATATATACTAAATCCACAAGCATAAGAAGTTCCTTGGAAGGTTAGATTAAATAGTCCTCCCAGAAATCTCGAGATAGCTTAGGACAGGGGTCACCATGGACTGGGCCATGTTATGCCAGAAACTGGGCCACACAAACAAGCGAAGCCCCATCCATGGGATGCAAGCAGCATATGAAATCACAACACCCCCTGGTCTGCAGAAAAACTTCTCCATGGAAACGGTCCCTGGTGCCCAAAAGGTTGGGGACCACTGCCCTAGAAAGAAGCCATGGGCAATGGACTTTCTTCACCAGTGGCTTTCCAGGATTTTCTGCTTTTGAACATGGAAGTTGAGGTCCTCTCTGTCTGTCTTAGAATCCAATGAAATAAGAATTTCTTCTGAAATTTGCACTCTGAAGAATGTCAAGTTGGAAATGTTTGTTCTGTATAAATATTATTATTGTTATTATTACCTTTATTGTCAGAGTACAACATGTGTACAATGAGATTGGCTGAGTCTCCCTTTGTGCACCCCCCCCCCACAACTCACAGTGAGGACAGAAGTCCCTAACCCAGTCCCAATCTTATCACACTAAATAAATAAAAAATGGCAAGCAATAGCCAATAATATTTTTGTATTGCCCCTCAAAACAACTACAAGTTGTGTTTTACAAAGAGTATTGGCTTGGTTCACAGAATACCCAAAGCAGCAACCCACATGTTGGTTTGGCATTTTATGCAAATTGAGTCAATATAGTTACTTTATGGCTCAGTGCATGTCATGCAAAGCATGAAAACTGGATTAAGCCAATCTGGTTGTGTGAATCGTGGTAAGGAGATTGTGGACAAATTGATGGCATACTTGGAGATATTCAAGATTTTGGGGGATCTTTAAAATAATGCTTATTGTCAAAGTGTACACTCACAATTGATTTGAAATATATTTGTGATGCTAATATTTATCAACTTTAAGAATTCAAGTTTTTTTCTTGTCTATTTTCATCTGTAGATGAAAAATAAGAAAACTTCCATGCATGAAAATCACACAGAAAAAAATATTACTTCTATTTCATGTTGCATCTGTGCCGTTTTTACTTTCAAATAAAAGTGATCCAGAGAATTCAAATAATAGTTTCTGACAATATAATATTTTTTCTCATTTCCCCCCAAAACTTCTGTGTTATTTATTCCTTCAAAACAGCACTCACTAGGAGGAGAGGTTTGAGAAAACTGAATGCTTATTTGTTCTTAATTTTTATTTGTTCTACAGCCCTTTTGCTACTCTTTATCAGCATGTTGCTGTATTGTAATGTTTTTTTCAAAGATTAAAACAAGGTACTTTAACAGAGTTGGAAAGGACTTGAGAGTCTTCTAATCTAACTCCTGCTCAAGCAGGGGACCATGTACCATTTCAGACAAGTGGCTGTCCAGTCTCTTTAAAATGTCCAGTGATGGAGCATCTGCTACTTCTGAAGGTAAGCCATTTCACTGATCAATTGTCCTCACTGTTAGGAAATTTCTCCTTAGTTCTAGGTTGCTTTTCTCCTTGATAAGTTCCCATCCATTTTTCTTGTCTTGCCTTCTGGTGCTTTGGAAAATAGCTTTACCCCCTCTTCTTTGTAGCATAATGTGGCAGTCCCTCAAATATAGAACACTGCTATCATGTTACCCCTAGTCCTTTTTACCAGACTAACCATGCCCAATTTCTACAACCATTCTTTGTACATTTAAGCTCCCGAGGCCCTAATCACCCTTGTTGCCCTTCTCTGCACTCTTTCCAAACTCTCAACCTTTTTTTTTATATATAATGGGGTGACCAAAACTGGATGCAGTATTCCAGGTGCGGTCTTTCCTTTTGTTTAGCTCTGACTTTTCTACTAGAGATCATTTATAGATGGATTCTCTCCTCACTTCACCTTCGGTTTCCAACTCTGATCTTAAAGACTGCCAATTTTGTAGGAAAAAAAAATCTTACTGTGGGAGGGGGAATCCACAGGTAAAATGCAAGATTTT